TAAGAGTTTTAGCAGGTTTAGATCTTATATTTAGGTTTAGAATCCATTTGCAGTTAAAATTTGTATACGATTCAAGGAAGGGGCCTGACATTATTTTGCATTTAGATATCTAGTGGTACTAGCACCATTTGTTGAATATAATTTTCCCTTATAGAATTGTCTTTGCACCCCTGTTGAAAATCAGTTGGCCATAAATATGAGAGTTTGTTTCTGGACCCTCAGTTCTATTTCTTTGATCTGTGTATCTGTTTCCATACCAGTAACATAATGTCTTGATTACTGTAGCTTTGTAGTAAGTTGAAATTTGGAAGTGTGAGTCTTTGTCAGGATTATTTTGGCTATTTGGGCTCCTTATCATTTTCATGTGTTTGGGCTGAACTTCACAGTTTTTGTGAAGCAATTCACTAGGATTTTGAATTTGTAGGTTGTTTTGGAAAACATTGACATCTTAGCAATATTAAGTGTTTAGATCCATGAACATGAGATGTGTTTTCATTTATTTTAGTTGTTCTCTAATTTCTTATAACAATGTTTGTATGAGTTTTGTACAAGTTTTGCATGTCTTTTTTTAATTAGGTATGATTTTTTGATACTGTTATGTATTGTTTTCATAATTCCATTTTTTGGATTGTTCAATTGTTAACATACAGAAATAAAAATGATTTTTATGTATTGATCTTGTATCCTGCAATCTTGCTGAACTACTTTGTTTTAATAGTTTTTTCTTTTTTTTTTAGTGTATTCCTTAAGATTTTCTGTATGTAAGATCATGTTACCTGCAAATAGAGACAGTTTTACATTAACTTCCTGATCTTTTTTCTTGCCTAATCTGGCTAGATCCTCTAGTACAATGTGGAATGCAAGTGGTGAGAGTAAATATCCTTGTCATGTTGCAGATCTTAAGAGGGAATATCTGCTGGTTCACTATTATCATGTTAACTGTGGGTTTTTTTTTTTTTTTTTCTTGGTAGATGCCCTGTATTTGGTTGAGGAAGTTGAGTATTTTTATAGTGAAAGGTTGGGTTTCATCAAATGCTTTTTCTCCAGCTATTGAGATGATCATGTAACTTTTGTTTTATTTACATTCAGATGTTTTATTTACATTCAGAATGAGCTCTTTCATTCTTGATTTTGAGGTAAGTCTCCTGCATTACAGTGGTTAAAGACAGACATTAGTAGTGGTCTGCATTTGTATAAATGGCAGAAGTCTTTTGGGTGAATAAAAATAAATACTCAGAGCACATAGAAAAGAGAAGGCCAGCCGGGCGCGGTGGCTCAAGCCTGTAATCCCAGCACTTTGGGAGGCCGAGGCGGGTGGATCACGAGGTCGAGAGATCGAGACCATCCTGGTCAACATGGTGAAACCCCGTCTCTACTAAAAATACAAAAAATTAGCTGGGCATGGTGGCGTGTGTGCCTGTAATCCCAGGTACTCAGGAGGCTGAGGCAGGAGAATTGCCTGAACCCAGGAGACGGAGGTTGCGGTGAGCCTAGATCACGCCATTGCACTCCAGCCTGGGTAACAAGAGCGAAACTCCGTCTCAAAAAAAAAAAAAAAAAAAAAAAAAAGAAAAGAGAAGGCCAAAGATGGAATTTTGAGGAATATAAACAATCTAACATTTGTTCTAAGTTAAATTTAGTCTGAGCTAGTAAATTTAATGAAAACATTACCTAAGGCAGCAGGTTTTAGTTTTTGCTTTACTAGGTAAATTTACAGCTTTTGGTATGTCTTAAAAGTCTTTGATAATATGGAAAGTTTTTCTGCCCTTTGTTTGATTGCATTTGTATGAGTCAGACTCTGGAGAACAGAAGTATTAATATATAAAGTGTAGGCAAAGAAAGAGAAGCAGCATGATTTTCTGATTATCTGAAAGGAACATGTACATGGCAAATAAATAGTAGAAGAACTTTAAACTTTGTGAATACACTGCTTGTTCCATAAATTAGCCATTTTAACACTAGTCTGAGATACTGGAATTTTCCTTTTCTCTACTTGAAGGAATGTTTCTGTGAAAATAGGAAAAAAATTCATGAGAAACTTTCTTCACATAAGTAGTAGTCTTTTGTAGGAGCTTGAAGCATGCAGAGTAGTGAACCATAGATCCTCAGACTTTGTATTGAGAGCTAGAACTAGACTGTGCTTTCCCTTCTCATTGATTTTTGCTTTGTACTTCAAACTTTACTACTACTACTTAATGTCTGTTGATTTCATGATCACTGCTATTCTTACTATGAAAAACCCTCAATTTCAGGGCCGGCCACATTGGCTCACATCTGTAATCCCAGCACTTTGGGAGGCTAAGGTGGGTGGATCACAAGGTCAGGAGTTTGAGACCAGCCTGACCAACATGGTGAAACCCTGTCTCTTCCAAAAAACCCAAAAATTAGCTGGCAGTGGTGGCACGGACCTATAATCCCAGCTACTCAGGAGCTTGAGGCAGGAGAATCACTTGAACCCAGGAGGTAGAGGTTGCGTTGAGCTGGGATCATGCCACTGCATTCCAGCCTGGTGACAGAGTGAGACTCTTGTTTTTGTCAAAAAAAAAAAAAAAAAAAAAAAAAAAGAAAAAGAAAAACCCTCAATTTCAAAACATTGAAAACATAATGGTTGCATTAGCTTGTTGGTCAGAGTGTTATCAGAAAGAGGTCCAAGAGAGGTTCTTGGATCTTGCATAAGAGAGAATTCAGGGTGAGTCCATAGAGTAAAGTGAAAGCAAGTTTATGAAGAAAGTAAAGGAATAAAAGGATGGCTGCTTTGGGGTAAGAGCAGCCTCAAGGGCTGCTGGTTGCCCATTTTTATGATTATTTCTTGATGATACACTTAACAAGGGATATATTATGTATGGCCCTCCTTTTTAGACCGTATTTGGGTAACTCACTTATGTTGCCATTGCATTTGTAAACTCGTGGTGCTAATGGGAGTGTAGCAGTGAGGAAGGTCACTCTCATCGCCATCCTGGTTTTGGTGGGTTTCTTTTCTGCAAGCTGTTTTATCAGCAAGGTCTTTTATGACCTGTATCTTGTGCTGACCTCCTATCTCATCCTGTGACTTAGAATGCCTTAACTGGGAATGCAAACCAGTAGGTTTCAGCCTCATTTTATCCATCTCCTTTTAAGGTAGAGTTGTGCTGGTCCAAATGCCTCTAACAAGATTACTACTTAGGTTCCTATAGGAAATTTAAACCCTTAGAAATAGCCTAACTAAATGTCAGCAGTTAAGATCTAAGTATATTGGCAGGCGTGGTGGCTTATACCAGCACTTTGGGAGGCTGAGGTGGGGCAGATCACTTGAGGTCAGGAGTTCAAGACCAGCCTGGTCAACATGGTGAAACCCGTCTCTACTAAAAATACAAAAATTAGCCGGGTGTGGTGCTGGGCCTGTAATTCCAGCTACTGGGAGGCTGAACAGGAGAATCACTTGAACTCAGGAGGCAGAGGTTGCAATGAGATGAGATCGTGCCATTGTCCTCCAGCCTGAGCAACGAGTGAAATTCAGGCTCAAAAAAAGCAAAAGCAAAAAAAAAACAAAAAAAAAACTACATATATTACCATATTCATTACCAATTCTAAATTTAAATTAGTTGATAGTCTCGGAGATTGTTCCAGAAAGTTATGGAAGTTCTCCAATTCAGTCATAAATAGTTCAAATTACTTGCTTGAACTGAAAAAAAGTTGTTATATTGATCAACTCATTAAATGATATGATTGGTAAGACAAATTTTTGAGATGTTTATCTGACATTTTGTTTCTTGTTTGAACTACATTGTTAGAGTTACCCAAAATCATATGAATAATCTGAGAATAATATTTTATTTGAGGCAAAAATGATAGAATAATGACTTTTAACTATGAATTCTAAAATTAACAGTAAGTATGACACACCACCACGTTCCCTGAACTTGTAAACTATCTTGATATATTAAAGGAGTTAGTATATCTATTGGGATGGTCAAAACCCATACAGCAGGGTTCTTTTTTATTTTTTAATTTTTTTTATTTTTGAGACGGAGTTTCGCTCTTGTTACCCAGGCTGGAGCGCAATGGCGCGATCTTGGCTCACCGCAACCTCCGCCTCCTGGGTTCAGGCAATTCTCCTGCCTCAGCCTCCTGAGTAGCTGGGATTACAGGCACGAGCCACCATGCCCAGCTAATTTTTTGTATTTTTAGTAGAGATGGGGTTTCACCATGTTGACCAGGATGGTCTCGATCTCTTGACTTCGTGATCCACCCTCCTCGGCCTTCCAAAGTGCTGGGATTACAGGCTTGAGCCACCGCACCCGGCCACAGCAGGGTTCTTAAAAGACGAATGAACATAGTTGTAATAAGGAGAGAGATACATAGACACTACAAATTATTTTGCCTGTTTAACCTTAAACATACTAAATATATTTAGCATTATATCTATAGGAAATTATATCCATGTCTAAGACAAATGTTTCCAATTAATTACAATCTATAGTCCTCAAAAATTTGGAGAACTAATTCGTTTCTTTACTATCATGAAGTAGATAAAAATGAAATGGTATTCATTAGGAAAAATGCAGAGGGAAAAGATGAATGTTAAAAAAAAAATAAAATACAGGTCAGAGACATCCTCAAAGAAAAAAGGACATTTAAGTACTAAGGTTATAGTATAGTCATCAGGTTCTCTTCAAATTTGAAATTTTAATAGTTGATGAGTTTTAAAGTTGCATAAGTCTATAGACAGTGATGGTATATCTAATACATATAGTGAAGTATGTATTTTCAAAATGGTACTGAGCTATTTGTCCTATATGTTATGATACTACTGTCAAACATAAAATACGTGGCTTCTGTCATTATCACATGTATACATTATAATGTCTAATAGCTGGAAAACACTTTATAACATTTATATATTTAACATTTTTTGATATAGGAAAATAAACATTTTTAGGAAGACTGTTAACTTATGTCACTAAATGTATATGTATTTTTTAATGTGTGAAATTATTGGATTTCTGTTCTTATTACTGCAGGAAGCATATGTGCCTCTTTTCTTACCCAAAGTTACCAACTGCCAGTTCTTGATACAATGTTTCTAAGGAAGAAATACAGAGGTAAAGATTTTGGGCTTCACATGCTGGAGGACTTTGTTGATTCCTTTACAGAAGAGGCACTTGGCTTGCGGTATCCACTGTCTTCTCTCATGTACACAGGTAAATGGACTAAGTTAAAAAATGATAAACTTGTCTCTGTGTCACTTGTGACTTGTTTCTCCAGAATACTATAAATGTGTATATATCAATAGCACATAAATTTGGAATCTTGGGCTCTGTAGAACTAAATTTTGCCAATAAGCCCTTCTGTATTTGTTTTCTGGGGGTTAGGTAGTCTTAGAAAAAACTTTAAATGTAATTAATGCCATAAAAATTTCCGGACACAGTGGCTTACGCCCGTAATCCCAGTACTTTGGGAAGCCAACGTGGGCGGATCACCTGAGGTCGGAAGTTCAATACAAGCCTGGCCAACATGGTGAAATTCTGTCTTTACTAAAAATAAAAAATTAGCTGGGCATGGTGGCTTGTGTTTCTAATTCCCACTACTCGGGAGGCTGAGCCAAGAGAATTGCTTGAACCCGGGAGGCAGAGGTTGCAGTGAGGTGACATCATGCCACTGCACTCCAGCCAGGGTGACAGAGTGAGACAGAGCCTCCATCTCAAAAACAAAACAAAACCAAACCAATATCTGCCATAATATTTGCCCAGTTAAAAGTATACAACTCAGTGTTTTTTAGTATATTCATAGTGGTTCAATCAAAACCAGCAATTCCAGAACATTCTCATTACCCCAAAAAGAAACCCTGTGCCAATTAGCAGTCACTGTCCATTTCCCCTTCCTCCATCTGTAGCAACCACTAATCTGTTTTCTGTCTCTGTGAATTTACTCATTGTGGACATTTCATATACACGGAATCATATGGCATGTGGCGTTTTGTGTCTGGCTTCTTTCACTTAGCATGTTTTCAAGGTTCATTCATGTTGTAGCATAAATTGGTACTTCATTTCTTTTTATGACCGAGTAATATTCCATTGTATGGCTGTACTGCAACTTGTTCTAAAGAGATGTTCCAATTTACATTCCCATGAGCAATATTATATGAAGGTTATAATTTTTCCACATCTTCATCCTCACCAAGATTTGTTATTAGCTGTATATTTTACTACAGCCATCCACATCCTCACCATTTGTTATTATTTATATATTTTATTACAGGCATCCTAGTGGATATGTAGGGGCATCTCATTATAGTTTTGCTTTGCTTTGATGTTGAATGTCTTTTCATGTACTTACTGGTCATTTGTATACCTTCTTTGGAGAAATGTCTATTTAAATCATTTGACCATTTTGAGGGGGTGCACTGATTTGTTTATGGTAGTTTTTACAATTAACAATAAATTTCAGACATACAAAAAGGTATAAAGAAGCTGAGAATGTTGGGATATGCCTGTTACCTCAGTTACTCCAAAGGCTAAGGTCGGAGGGTTCCTTGAGTCCAGGAGTTTGAGACCAGCCTGGGCAACATAGTGAGACCTCATTTCAATTAAAAAAAAGTTTAAGGAGTAAGGTGTTGGCTGGGCATGGTGGCTCATGCCTTTAATGCTAGCACTTTAGGAGCCCGAGGTGGGCAGATCACATGAGTTCAGGAATTCAAGACCAGCTTGGGCAACATGACAAAATCGTACCCTACAAAAATTACAAAAAATTAGCTGGGTGTGGTAGCTTGTGCCTATAGTCCTTGATACTTGAGGGGCTGAGGTGGGAGAATTGCTTGAGCCCAGGAGGTTGAAGCTGCAGTTAGCTAAGATAACACTACTGCACCCCAGCCTGGTAACAAATTGAGAGCTTATCTCAAAAAAAAAAAGAATAAATAAATGAATTAATAAATAAAAAGAAGGTATCAAATACTCATGTACCATGTCAGCATGTACCATCCGTGAGAAATGGCTTGCTGCCAATGTGGTGGAAGTCTTCTGTGTACTCTTACCCAATTAGACTCACTCCCTTCTCTGGGATGAGTACTGTACCTAACTTGGCACTCACTTTTCTCACACGTTTCTTAGACTTATAATACATATATGTATGTTCTCAAACAATATATCATGTTGCTTTACATATTCAAAAACTATAATATGCACTGTTTGAATTTGTCTGCAGTTTACTTTCTTTACTCATCTTTATATTTGTGAGATTCATCCATGTGGACTCATACAGTTCCATTTATTTTCAATGGCGTATTCTATTTTATGGACATTCCACTTGGTGGTGATTTAAAACCATTAGTGGGTTTGGTTTTGAATTTATGTAAAGGTCATGTAACTTCTGAATGAAGTAAAATTTAATCCTACATAGTAATTAACCTAGAAACTTTATGAAGTATCATTTACTATTGATTTCAGCCTAACAGCAGTTATTTATGTCCACTGAAAATATATTTTTGTTCCAAATCTTCCTCACCTTCTTTAATATCAGAAGCAATCCAGAAAACAGGAACCAAGTACAGAATTGGATGCCCACCTTGAATCATTTTCTCTCTACACCCATACATGAGAGTGGGATGCGCATTATGTGCCCTTCGTTAATCCTAAAATGCCTTACTCTAATTACTGCGTTGCTGAATTTGAGGAGAGATGCAAAGACATCCACTGCAGGCGGAATCCCTTAATACTTACTCTCCTCTGTGATTCTAGTGATAAATAAAATGAATACCAAATGAATTACAGATGATCATCAGCTAATTTCTATCATTGCATAAAGCCTTAGCACTTTGTGAGGCCAAGGTGGGCAGATCACTTCAGGCCAGGAGTTCAAGACCAGCCTGGCCAACATGGTGAAATCCAATTTCTATTAAAAATACAAAAATTAGCCAGGCATGGTGGCACATGCCTGCCATCCCAGCTACTCAGAAGGCTAAGTCACGAGATTTGCTTGAGCCTGGGAGGCAGAGTTTGCAGTGAGCCAAGATCGGGCCACTCCACTCCAGCTTGGGTGACAGAGCAAGACTCTGTCTTCAAAGAAGAAACTAGGCAGGCCTAGTAGTGTGCACCTGTAGTTTCAGTTACTTAGGAGGCTGAGGCAGGAGGATCACTTGAGTACAGGAGTTTGAGGCTGCAGTGAGCTACTGCACTCCAGACTCAGGGAAAGAGCGAGATCCTGTTTTCAAAAAAAAAAAAAAAAAAAAAGGGCAAATATCTATTATTATAATTTATTATATACAATAACATACACCAATTTTAAGAGTACATTTTAATGACTTCTGACAATTGTATGGACCCTTTCTACTGTAGACACAATCTAGATAGATAATACTTTGTTTCCAAAAGTTCCCTTTGTGCACCAGTCCCCCAGCTTCCTTCCCCTCCAAACTCACTCCAGGCAAGCACTGATATGCTTTCTGTCAGTACCATTTAGATTTTTCTAGAGTTTCATGAAAAATGGAAATATATGGTGTATATACTTTATGTCTGGCATCTTAGTTTTGAGGCTCATTGATGTTGCATGTCTCAGTACTTCATTCCTTTTTTTTATTTTGCTGAGTATTTCTCTCTCTCTTTTTTTGAAATGGAGTTTCACTCTTGTTGCAGAGCTTGGAGCACAATGGTGTGATCTTGGCTCACCACAACCTTTGCCTCCTGGGTTCAGACGATTCTCCTGCCTCAGCTTCCTAAGTAGCTGGGATTACAGGCATGCACCACCATGCCCTGCTAATTTTGTAATTTTAGTAGAGACAGGGTTTCTCCGTGTTGGTCAGGCTGGTCTGGAACTCCCGACCTCAGGTGGTCTGCCTGTCTTGGACTCCCAAAGTGCTGGGGTTACAGTCGTCAGCCACCACGTCTGGCCTTGCTGAGTATTTCTCACTTTGATTGTACCACGGTTTATTTATCTGCCTATTGATAGACATTTGGTTTCCTTTCTTTCTTGGCTATTATGAATAAAGGTGCATGAAAATGTCTTTGTATGGACATTTGTTTTCATTTCCTTGGAGCAAATACCTAGGAGTGTCATTACTGGTTTTTATGATTGTGTTTAACTTTGAGAAGTTGCCAAATTAGTTTCTAATAAAGTACTTATGTCATTTTGCATTCCAGTTAGTAATGTGTGGAAGTTCTGGTTGCTCTACATACTCATTAACACTTGGTTTTGTTAATCTCTTTAATTTTAGCCTTTCCTAGTAGTAAGGCTATCTCACTTACTATGTGGTTTCAGTTTGCGTTTTCCTGAAGACTAAAGATTTTGATTATCTCTTCATGTAATTATTGGGTAATCATATGCCCTAAGAAAGGGTAGAAAAAGTGAGGTGTTTGCTCATACCTTTTGCTTATGTTTGTATTGAATTCCTTGTCTTCTTACTGAGTTACGCGTTATTTTTGTGTCTTGGATATGAGTTCTTTGTGTATATTGTTAATTCTTTCTCATGGCCTTTTCCTTTTCTTAATCTATATGCATTTGTTTCAAGTAAGTTTTAATATTATTTAGTTTAAATCTCCCATCCGACTATTCTTTATTTGTCCCATTTGTTTTTTCTCTTTTTTTCTTTCCTTTTGGAAGTACTTATCAGTGTTCTATTTTAGCTCAACAGTTGGTTTATTAGCCATGCCTTTTTGTTTTGTTTTGTGGCCTGTTGTGTTGGTTTTCTCCAGCTTCCTCCATCCTTTTAGTTTTGGAAACTAAACCCAGAACATATGAAAAATATTTTCAAATATACAGGGAAAAAATGGATAGACTAGTATCCTAATTTCTGTACCAAGTCTAGATTGAACAGATGTTAAGATTTTGCCATTTTTATTTTAGTTTAAGAGAGAACTAAATACAATGTTTATTGATTGTAATAAAAGATACAGTCGATGTTCTCTTTGAATCCTTCGCTAATATCATTCTCCTTTCTCCTTTCCTCCCCAGAGATAATTGCACTCCTGATGTTGGTGTTTATTTTCCTGCTTACAGTTTCATATTTATGTCTGTAAACATTATACAATATTATTTAGTGTGCTTTCTTTATTTTTTTGTTGTGGTAAAAAATTGTATATAATACCTTATTTGTAGGTGAACAGTTCAGTGGCACTTGCACACAGTGTTTTGTACCCATCACTACTGTGTATATCCAAAACTTTTTAATCATCCACAACATCAACTTTCTCCCCATTAAACAATTAACTCCTGGTTTCCCCTACTCCCATCTTCTGGCAACCTCTTTTCTACTTTCTGTCCCTATGAATTTGCCCGTGCTAGGTACCTCATCTAAATGGAATTGTAGAATATTTGTCTTTCTGTATCTGGCTTATGTGACTAAATCTAATGTTTTTGAGGTCCATGATGTAGTCCATTCCTTTTTATGGCTGGATAGTTTCCCTTTGTATGAATATACCATATTTTGTTTGACCATTCATCTATCGATGGACTCTTGGGTTGTTTCTACCTTTTGGCCGTTGTGAATAATGCTTCAGTGAACGTTGGCATACAGATATCTGTTTGAGTCTCTGCTTTCATGTTTTTTGAATATATACCTGAGGGTGAAATTGGTGGGTTATATGGTAATTTTGTGTTTCACTTTTTGAGGAACTGTTTTCCATTGTGGCCGTACCACTTTGTTTAATGTTTTTAAGCTTTACATAAATGGTGGCATTTTGTTCATTTATTGGCCCAATTTTTACTGAGCATTTTTAAAAGAGTTATCAATGTTGATTTAGGTAGCTATAACTCATTTATTTTAAGTACTGTATAGTATTTTTGTTACATACATATTACAGTTTATTCATATATTTCCTTACTATTGAGCACTTAGGTTAGGTCCCCATTAAAAATAGTCCTGTAATGAATATTATAAATGTTTTCTGCATATGTACAGCTGGCCCTCGACTTACGATGGTTTGACTTTTGGTTTTATGATGGTACAAAAGTGATACTTATTTAGTAGAAACAGTCATTTGAATTTTGATCTTTTCCTATGCTAATGATATGATACTCTCTCATGAAACTGGGCTGTGGCTGCCAATCAGCTTCCAGCCAGCCAGGTGATCACAAGGGCAACCAACCAGTTGAATACAGAGTACTGTATTCAATAAACTGTATGAAATATTGAAATATTGAATACAGAGTACTGTATGAAATATTCAACAATTTATCATAAAATAGATTTTGTGTTGGATGATTTTGCCCAACTGTAGGTTGTAGTCTGTGTTCTGAACTTAGGTGTTTAGAACACATTTAAGGTAAGTGAGGCTAAGCTATGATGGTTGGTAGGTTAGGTGTAGTGAATACGTTTTTGGCTTAATGGTGTGTTCAATTTATGATGGGTTTAACAGAATGTAACCCCATTGTAAGTCAAGGAATATTTGTATAAGGTATTAGGGTTTATACCTCAAAGTAAAATTGGATCATAAAATGTGTCTCTTCAACTTCGTGTTGCAAAATTATTCTCCCACCAGCAGATTGTGTGTTTCCATTTCCCTTATTCTTGGTGCTTGTCATTATCCCACAGGTGTGAAAATCTAATCTTCTTGTTTTATCTTACCTTTCCTTGGCAGTAGTGAGGTTTATCATCTTTATCTTTGTTTATTGGCCACTCAGATTTCATGAGGTATAAATTTCCTGTTGATAGTCTCTGCCAGTTTTTCTTTGGGATAACCTTGTCTTTTGAATTCCATTGTAGAAATTCTTTATATTTTCTGAGTACTAATCCTTTGTTTTACCCTAAATGTCTCCTAATCTGTGTCTTTCTGGTATCATTTTCATGTAGAAGGGTGCAGTTCAATACAGTAGTCACTAATTTAAATATAAGTTAGAGTTAATTAATATTAAATAAAAATATAAGTTCATTTCCTAAGTAGCCACTGTGGCTAGTGGCTATTGTATTGGACAGTGCTGATGATGGGACACGTCTGTCATCCCAGAAAGTTCTGTTGTACAGTCCTGATATATACTAGGTTTTAAATCTTAATAGATCATAATTTTTCATCATGGACTGTGATTTTTGTGTCTTTCGTAAGAAATCCATCTGAACCCTATTCTCCTATGTTTTCTTTTAAACATTTTGTTTTTCACATTAGGTATTAGAATTTGTTAAGAATTTATGTTGATGTGAGGTCAGGATCTGACTTTATTATTTTTTTTTAATAAGGATTTTAATTTTAGCACCATTATTTTAGTAGTTTATCCATTGTTTGCTGAAATATAATGCCTTTTCCATCATTTGGCAAGTTGTAGTTTATATGTGGTTCTTTCCTAGTGGAGTTTCTTTGTTATTTATTTGTGGGTTTTTTTGTTGGTTGTTTGGTATTTTACCTCTCCTCCTTCCCACCCCACAGTCTGTTTATATATCTTTATGTCAGTACTAGGTTGTTTCAGTTACTGTGGTTTTATAATGATTCTTGGTATTTACTTGGACAAGTCTCTATCCTTATTTTTCTTCTTCAAAATTGACCTGAATATTGTTTCTTTCTTTCTTTCTTTCTTTCTTTCTTTCTTTTTTTTTTTGGAGTTTTAAAATTGATGTATAATAGTTGTACTTACTGAATATTTTCTTACCCTTTATTCTTTCATTTTGGGATTTGGGATCAAGTTTGTCAAATTTTATTAAAAAATAAGTTACGTTGGGATTTGTTTGCAATTGCATGGAATTTATAGATCAATTTGGTGAAAACTGGGACATTTATACTGTTCAGTCTGACAGTCTTTTTATTCAGTTCTGTGTTGGACACCTCAGTAACATTTAATCACTTTTTTCTTTAAAAGCGAAGTACATTTTTAAAGGATGTTTATTGTTTGGTCATGTTAAAACTTGTATTTGGGATTTTATTTAGAATTTTTATTTATAAATGAGACTACTGTATACTTGTGTTGGTGGTGTTTTGGTATCAAGGTCATGTAAGCACCATTAAGTGAGTTAGGAAGCTTTCCATCTTCTGATTTTCAAGACAGTGGATATTTGAAATTTCTAGAAAATTCTAAATGTGTTTTTCAGCTTGCAAGCAGTACTTTGACAAATATCCAGGAGATCATGAACTCCTTTGGGAAGTTGAAGGTGTTGGACACTGGTACCAGCGAATACCAGTCACCAGAGCATTACAGAGAGAGACACTTAAAATACCAGGTAGGAGTGTTTTCAGTTTGAACATAAGTTCAGTTTACTTATTTATTTTTGGTAGCCTATCCTTGCTGGCACACAAGTCCAGTTTAAAAAGCAGTGGCCAATAATGGTTGTGTCTTAGAGTCCAGAATAGTGGTGTATTGTAATGTGATCTATTCTAGTAACATAATCTCTTGTCTGAAGTTTGAATTTTTGTGATTATATTAACGTTTGAGTTCCTAGTAATAACGAGACCTAGAACAGCTCAGTAGGAATTGATGGGTAGGAAATAAACATAGATTACTGAAATGGCATAGAATAGGCACCAGGGGGGTCCAGAGTACCCACTAATCTCATGTACTCCCCAAAGCCCCTAAATACTTAAAATTAACTATTTACCATTGTATATAATGGCAATGTTGCATTATAAGATACTGGTGAAGAGAACATCTCACACCTAGATTTTCATGACCCTTCTGTCTAGGCTGCTCTTCAGGGATTTTAGGAAAGTCAGTACAATGTTACAGTTAAAACCAAATACTGGTTGCGTTACAATTTTTAAAATTCTTCTATACACAGCAGTTTCTCAAAATGAACCTAAAAGACCTATGTCTGGAGAATATGGTCCTGCATCTGTTCCAGAATATGAAGCAGGAACTGAAGACAATCAGTCTAGTGAGATGCAGCTAACTGTAGGTACACTGTATGTTTACCGTAGGAAATGATTTTTGTGTTTTTAAAATATAGATTCAGCTTATATTTGAGTTTTAAATGTTATAGTTCCAAAAAACCTATGTAATTTCTACTATGTTAGTTTTCCTGGCATCTTCTGTTAATATTACTAAGGACTTTAATTTTCTCTGAAAAATAATTTTAATGATGTTAAAAGTATGAGCTAATTAAAGGTAATTTAGAATGAACATAAAATAATATAGAAGAAAATAAAAATATATGATTCCACTATTCAGATATAGCCACTGTTAAACATTTTTGCATACTTATTTAATATTGTATATTATAAAGTATGTATCTGTATATATTTAATTTTTATTCTCTTAGATTGCTAACTGCTTTCCTCCAGTAATGTAATAATGGAAGTATTTTCTTTGGCATTAAATCATTAAAACATGATTGTTAAATAGCAGCACACTATTCTATTATTTGTTTTAATTAAATATCATGATTTGTTTCCTTAACATAGAATCCTTAAATTTTTAACATTTTTAAATGGCCCAGGAGCAAACACATTTATATGTGAATCCTTGTGCATATGTAATTACTTCTCTGAACATAAAAATTTCCAGAAGTGGAGTAAGTAGGTGAAAGATGATGGAGTTGTTATGTAACGTTTGAGGTGGTGTATGCTAGGTCTTTGTAGAATGTAATGCACTTTGCAAATACTAAGTATCCTGAAAGTAGAAGGACAGGTCCCATTACCAAACTTCACAGGACTTACTAGGTCCTTTTCTAGAACTGATGTTTTGTGATACTTGGTATTGCTTAAAATACAGGCCCATTGATGGGACTCTAGAAGTCTAGGGTTTTGGGGGATGGCATTTATTACAGTCACATTTTTGTATGTGTGTATCTAAGTTTATTTTTAATGAGTGTTGAATATGCCTATGTAAATACATGGGCATATTGTATAAACAACTGCTTTAGGGAATTATTTGTGCTTATTTTCTGTCTTAATTAGCATGAGAGTTGACTCTATTTGAGTAGAAAATTTGTAACCATTTTTAAGAATAACAAATAATATAACTATATATAAGGAGTTGGGTTTGTTTCCCCCCTACATTTGGAAAGTCAAACTTGAGAATAAGCTCCTGTTCTATTCATTCCAAATTTCTCAGATATACACAGGTTCATTTAGTGTTGGCCAGTTACCATAAAATCAAGGAAAGTAAAAAATCTACTCCTCTATAAATGTAATGAGAGCAATGATTTACTTTACATTAATTGAAATAATTTTAGATTTGTCATTTGAGTGACAATATATTACAATGGTACAGTATCACACTTGACAGCATAAATTTGATTTTAGAATCTAACCTAATTAAGATTTTAGAAATTCTATTCTGCATATTACTTTAATGTTTTAAATAGTTGAAGGAAAATGTTTATCATATTAAACTATTTGTGTTATATCTCTTTTTATCACTGACCACAAACAGTTTTGTTTATTCAAGTACATGATTTATTCTTTAGGTGATGATGGTGTTATCTATTTTTTCCTTTTTTTTTTTTTTTTTTTTTTTTGTATTTTTTGTAGAGACAGGGTTTCACCATGTTGGCCAGGCTGGTCTTGAACTCCTGACCTCGTGATTCACCTGCCTCGGCCTCCCAAAGTGTTGGGATCACAAGCGTGAGCCACTGCACCCAGCTATATTTTTTTCCTATTTTTATACGTAAAACATTAACGTATATTTCTCTTATGATACTTTTTGTGCCTTTTATTTATCTGTCTTTACATTTTAACCTTTTCTTATTGGACTACAAGTTTCTTGAAGCAAGATTTTTGTCATATCATTTGTCACAATTGCTCTCTTGCTTTTGTTCTATAAATTGAAGGCTGTCTGTCTACTATATTGTGGAGTTTTAGTAAGCATGTAATGGATGAATAAAGTAGTTACTGTGGCAAGCACTGGACATATAAAGATATGGTTCTTAGACGTGGGAGAATTAGATGGTCCTTTGTTGGAAATACAGAATTAAATACTACAGCATAAAAATTGCCTTACTTATTATAGCAAGTGATTGGAGGTATATAGGAGAGGTTGACTTTTAAAGGTGGGTGGGAGTTCTATGACATGGGTTGTTAGGGCATTCCAGAGGATACCATGTAAAAAAATTACAGAAGTGTGAAAGAAAATGGCGTGTTTGACATGAAAGAGGTACTTGGTATTTTGCATATGCTGAGAATTTGTATTCTAAGCAGTGGTTGGCTATTAAAGGTTTTTTTTTTTTTCCTTTTTTTTTTTAAGCAAAGAAATGATACAATTTGTGATTTGAAAGTATCACTTTGTCATCAGGGTGGAGGGGTTTAGATGGGATGTCATTAGAGCGAGGGATACTAGTGAGGAGGCTGTTGGAATAGTTGAGGTTCAAGAGAGTAAAGGCATAAACTAAAGCAATGTTAATACAAAGGATAGGGCAGTTTTGAGAGGTTCTTCAGTTAAAATGGAAAGACTTTGTGATTGATTAAATGTGGGATTGGAAGAAGTCATTACTGCCTCACTGTTTGCTGGCTAGACTGACTGAATTGTCTTTAAGCAAGATGGGGAATAATATTGGGGAAAGATAAAGTTCATTTTAGGAATGATTGAGTGTGAAATTGGATGGGGCATCCACTGGGAGATGTTTCATTGAAAATAGAACTTTGGAAATCAAGAAGAAAATTTGGAGGCTTACATTGCATATTTGTATTCATTGGTAAGCAGATGCTTGAAGTAAGGATAGTGAAGGGAAAGCATGTGGACTCAGCAGAGAAGGTGGCTGAGGACAGAACTAGGAGACCAGTGGACACATTATGACATATTAGATGACTTACATATGTTCTCAGTCTTATAAATTGAAGCTGAACTATAATCTTTTTATTTTTAAAGTAAATGTTCTTAACAAAAAGTGCTATTTGAAAAACATTTTACAAGTTTTTTTTTTTTTTTGAAACTATAAATGAAATAGATCCATAGGAAGAAAAAATAGTCTAAAACTTTAGGTTTAAATCTGTCTCTTTTTTAGATTGATTCTTTAAAAGATGCCTTTGCAAGCACTTCTGAAGGTAAGAAATTCAACCGATATGTCAGTATTTGAGACTTCACATTAGAGCTGTGTGCATGACCATGCATGCATGCATGTGTGTGTGGTGTGTCACCCTGAGTAAGTGAAGACTTTTTCAGCTCTAGAATCCAGATGTGGGTTCTTATGCCATCACTGTCACTGATTTTGCTGTGTGAACACTGAGTAAGCTATTGTACCTCTCTCTTCCTAGTTTCCTTAGCTATAAAATAGGGATGGTAATGTCTGTGTTGTGTATTTTCCAAGATTATTGGGAGAGAATGTAAGTGAAATGCAAAAACACTTTGCAAAGCCCAAGATAACATGGAAATGTGAGGAATGAATTATGCAATTCATATAACTTGACAAAGTTATTATGTATTTTAGAAAAAGATGTAAATTGTAAAATTTCTTAGCTTGACCTAAGTGAGGGGATAGCAAACCTGTGTAATGTGGGGGATATGTGTAAACTAGTGTAGTCTTCTTGCATTTCTGTGTATTTTAATAGGAAGTCCTTTTAATATGTAATCAACTAAGTGCAGTTTTGCTATTTTCCTCCTCAGGTCATGATAAAACATTTATTTCCACTCGTACTCGAAGTAGTAATCTAAAGCGGCCGAAGATTGGAAAGCGGTTTCAGGATTCTGAATTTAGCAGTTCTCAAGGTGAAGATGAAAAGACTTCCCAGACTTCACCTACAGCTTCAATAAACAAGTAAAGAATTGTTTATTTTACTCTCATTTTTTGTTTATTTGTACTTTTATATTACTATTTAACATTTAAGGTAGAAGCTGTTTGTTTTGTTTGTGTAGTGGATGACTTTGGTATAGGAGTTTGTATTTGAATTATTTATATTTGAATTCTTTTTTTTTTTTTTTGAGATGGGAGTTTCGCTCTCGTTACCCAGGCTGGAGTGCAATGGCGCAATCTCGGCTCACCGCAACCTCCGCCTCCTGGGTTGAGGCAATTCTTCTGCCTCAGCCTCCTGAGTAGCTAGGATTACAGGCACGCACCACCATGCCCAGCTAATTTTTTGTATTTTTAGTAGAGACGGGGTTTCACCATGTTGACCAGGATAGTCTCGATCTCTTGACGTCGTGATCCACCCGCCTCGGCCTCCCAAAGTGCTGGGATTACAGGCGTGAGCCACCGTGCCCGGCTTATAATTGAATTCTTATACAAGATTATTAGTTGTTTATCAGCGCTAAGTGTTACCTTGACAACGTTATTGGAAGAAGTTGCTAGTAAGAGACTGGCATAAACTCACTTCATGTGTGAAAATCTAGGAGAATAATCCAGTGATTATATTATCCCAAATGAGTCATTATCACCAATGCTGAATTTGATGGCATAGTTTTAAATAATGATGAGATTTAGTCAGTTTTTTTTTTTTTAAATTCCACATTCAGTTCTTTTATTTAATTTTCTAGTGGACAATTTACATAATCTCCCTTACCCTATCTTTTAAGTTAGTGTGACAGTTTTCCATAATAAACTACGTAAAGAAAAGCTTTGGTCAATAATGGAATGAAACCACAAACAAACAAGCGAAAAACTGCTTTTAAAAAACCAACACTTTCACCAATTTTATATTCAAACAAAACCACATGGTATTGGTGTGATACATGTTTTCAGTGTTTTCTTGTGGCTGGCTTCCATGGCACATTCCACGGCACAGCTGTGGTCAGCCACGGTTTGTCGGGCTGGATGGTGGAAGCTCACTCAGCTTCACGTTATCCGGAGGCCCTTGAAACCACAAACTGTCGTGGCTCTATCAATGCCAGCAGTGCAAAATTTGCAACATACCTTGCTTGTCCACTTTATAAATAGAGACTTGAGTGATGCTATTCTGGTGCAGCATCTCCAAGATCGTGTTGGTGGTCCTCAGTTTTCGCCCTCTTGTCCATGTTGTGGAAGCATTCTGTGGCAGATATGTTGCGTCGGATGGTCTGTTTTGGAATGTCTAACTTGGAGACAAAGGTCAGGTAGCATGGTCATCATAGCCAAAGAGCACTGGGCAGCAGTCATGGCCAGCAGCCTCTGAGGCAAATGACACACTAAGGAGAGGCAGGAACTCCATCAGAGTTGAGACCTGCGTATTTTTGAGGCATCAGTAACAGACATGGTGCTATCATGGCTGACCCAAGCCAGGTGGCTCCCACTGGCAGAGAAGCTGACCCCGTGGACCTAGCCACCAGAGCCACTGCCACCATACTCTGACATCAGCTGCCCAAAAGGCATCTTGCTGTCCCAGGATGTGCTGGCTGGCTTTTCATCCACTTCTTTAATGTAAGCAGAAAGCACTGCATTTGAAGTCACACGATCCTGCTGCCAGCAATACATTGGGATGCCAGTCCAAGCTGAGGACTGTGGAGCGAATCGACTTTTTAATGTGCTCGCTTACCCACCAGTCATTTTCAGACGCAAAGTAACAAACAGAAATGAGTCATGCTCCATCTCCCACAGCAGATTTGTTCTCTGCAGGGGACCACTTTGACAAAAGTAGCTGTGTACTTCTCAGGATCACCAGGGTTGGCTTCCAGACACCATCTTTCTGTCTCCAGACATAGGCATTGCGATCAGCCCCACAAGTGATGATGCGGTTGCTCTTAGGAACCCAGTCAATATCTGTGATGTATTCATTGTGCTCCTTGAGTTCATGAGCTTTCACCCACTGGCGCCCGCTCTTCTTTCAGATGTACATTTCATGATTATTAGGACTGAGGGCAATCTGGGTATTATCCCTGTTCCAGGTATGACAGGTGATTAGCTCTAATAAAAACTGATGCAATGACATTATTCTTAGTGTTTTCAAAGGAGAGAAAGCTGGGGCCGGGAGAGTCCAGACAGGCTTGGAGTGGAGGATTTACAGATTCTGGGCAGTCAGTGCGAACAGGCTCTAGTCAGTTTTAAAATACTCTCAATTTTACTTTATTGATTCATTTTACTGAGCTGTTGGATATAATTGATAAATCAGTGATAAACCGTAAATGTACAGTCAGTTCCTCCAGGAATTTAGTTGCCAGCTGAATCAATGGAACACTTGAGGCCCAACTTTATTCTTTGTCTTTCTTTGCATCTTAAAGCAAGACTCTACATTTTATAATAAAATTAGATTTTTGCCCTACAGTTCAGCCCGCTGTTCCTGAGTTAATTCCTAACTTTGAATTTATTCAGTTAATTAAATAATTAGTTAATTTATAACTTTGCTATTTTAACTGTCCATTTATTTTAGTCAAGTAGAGAATTCTGTAGCTATGCTAATCTCATTATACAAATAATTTAAAATTTGAGTAATTAAGTATATAAATATTTTGGTGAAAAATTTGTAATGTTAAAGATAGATATAAGGAAGTATTTAAATCTAGCAATAAAAAAATGAGTGTAGAAAAATAGTTTTCTCAGTGAGCAATTATGTTGATATATAGTACCCTTTTTAGAAGGGTAGCAATATATTTTAAATTGAACCTTCCAGAATTATTGTGGGATTTTGTTTGCTTTTCATAAACAGAACAGTAGGATTTAATGCTTGAATGTTCCTCAAACACGTGAAGGAATAAAACATGGTCTTTGCTCTCAAAGGATTGACTGCCTCGGGGTAAAGAGAGATATGCACAGTTAAAAGCACTGTGAGGTGGATTGTGACAGTACAATAATGAGACGTGCAGAGTGCTGTGGATACAGAGGAAAGAGTGTTTGATTCTAATTGAGGGGATGGAGAGATTTGGCATTTGGGTCTGGGCTTCAAAGATAAGTAGAAACTGAACAAGCAGAGTTGGGAGAAAAGAAGACCTTCTAGTGAAAGGATCCACCAACTGTGGCCTGCAGGCTAAATGTGGCCTGCTACCTGTTTTTGTGAATAAAATTTTATTGTAAGACATCCATGCTCATTAAGCTGATATATTTTAAATTATTGTTTAGTAAGCTTATATATTTTTATATATTATTAAGCATATATATTTTTACTTATGTTTGCATTGCAGTGGGAGAGTTGAGTGGTTAGAACAGAGACCATATGGTCCACAATGCCTAAAGGAAAGGTTTGCTGACCCCTTATCTACACCAAGGATGTGAAACAACTTTCTGCAATGATAGAAATGTTTTGTACTTGTGCTGCCCAGTATGTAGCCTCTAGCCAGTGTGCCCATTGAACACTTGACATATGGCTAGTGCAAATGAAGAACTGAATTGTTTCATTTAATTTTAATTTAAATGTAAAATAATGAAGTGTGTCTCATGGCTATCATGTCTAGACTAACACATTAACATGAGCAAAGGCACAAAGCTAGGTGGAATGTTGCTAAAGATAACGATAAATAAGGTAAATAAAATTGTAAGGGTCTAGGCTGGGCCCAGTGGCTCATGCCTCTAATCTCAGCACTTTAGGAAGCCAAGGCGGGTGGATCGGTGAGGAGTTCAAAACCAGCCTGAGCCAACATGTCAAAACCCTGTCTCTACTAAAAATACAAAAATTACCTGGGTGTGGTGGCACATGTCTGTAATCCCAGCTACTCGGGAGGCTGAGGCAGGAGAATTGCTTGAACCCAGGAGCAGAGGTTGCAGTGAGCTGTGATCACACCACTGCACTCCAGCCTGGGTGACGGGGAGATCCTGTCTCAAAAACAAACAAACAAAATATATAAGAGTCTAGTCATGTTAGGCCTTCATAGAAGGTATACTTTATTCACTAAGCTTAGAGAACCACCAAGAAGTTTCTGAATTGGGCTGTCACAGGTGCAGATAATGTATATTAGAAAGGCAGCTCTGAAAGCCTTGATGAAGATGTTCTACTCTAAGTCTGAAGATGAATTGGGAAGAAGTAACAGTGGTCCAGAGAGAACTGGAGCCTGAAGCAGAGCTGTGAAAATAGGTATAGAAAGTCAGGAATATATTTGAAAGGCATTTTTGGAGTTAGAACTAAACCACATAATGTGTTGTCCAAGGTGACGTTTTTGAGAATGAAAGGAGCATCATTAATAATTATGCCAGTATCCACAATTATGGACAAAAGTCTGTAAACTACGACTGCCCCAGGTAAATTGGGATATATGTTCATTCTAACAGAATAAGGTCCATGATCCTTCAGTGTAAATTAGGTTAAAAAAAAAAGGTAAGGTCCAATAAGATATAGATAGAATAAAAGAAGGGTCTAGTTTACATAATTGAGAAGATGGTAATATTATAAGAGGATGAAGAGATTGGTTTTAGACTTGTAAAAATCTGAAGTTGTTGTCAACATATAGTTGATTCTCTAAACCATTACTTTGTTAAGAAAGGACTTTTGAGATTTTATATTTATCCTCAGTGAAACAAGTAAGAATGTTTTTCTTTTTTTTTTAGATTGGAGTCTACTGCACACACCTCAGACAGCCCAGAAGAATTTCTGGAAGAAGAACCCGAACAGAGAGGGATTGAATTTGAGGATGAAAGCAGTGATAAAGATGCGTGGCCAGCACCAGAAACCCAGCCACAGCAAGAGAAGCAAGATGGTGAAAAGGTATGAGATCACTTATTCAATAAAGTGAAAATAAGTAAACAAAAATTTAACTTTCTTAATCATATATTGTTAGAAAAATACAATGATATATTTTAGAGTCTTAGAAATTGTGTTTAGTGTTAAAAGCAAGGTCAGATACTAGAGTTGGGGAGAGGATAAAATTACAAGTGTAATTGAGTTTTAAAAAGTTTGAGTTATAATGAAGTTTGAGTTTGTAGAAGTTTGAGTTACGTATATAGAAGATAAAATAAGGGATGTTTAGTAAGATCCTTCAGTGCATTTAAAATATAATTTGTGGAATTAAACACACGTAAGTACACAAATGATATGATCTACCTTATAGAGTCAGTTAGAATGCTTTCAGGTCCAATAAACCTTCAATTGCACCCCCATTTTAGTTAGAGGGGCAGGAATTAGTAATCTAGAAAAAAAATATTTGATCACTGTTGACCTCACAAAATTCTGGAAAAACAACTAAATTCATGTTTTTTAAACACTGGAAATATATATATATATATATATATATATATATATATATCCTTGGTAAATAAGTAAACTCTTCATCTGGGTTGATTTCTGCAACTTTAAGATATTTATTGCTATTTTCTTTTTTCTTCCTTCTGTCCATTTCCATTTTTTTCCTTTAATATCTTCAATCTTTCCTTTCCACAGATTCCCTATTTCTTCTTTCATATGTTCTTAAGTTTCTTGAAAAATCTTTTAGCTGTTTGTTAAATCCAGCAGGCAGGTGATAAGTGAAACTATATTATCAATTTTGTTTTCTTTTTCTTTTTTTGAGACAGTTTTGCTCTTTTTGCGCAGGGTGGGGTGCAATGGCATGATCTTGTTTCACTGCAGCCTCTGCTTCCTAGGTTCAAGCACTTCTCCTGCCTCAGCCTCCCTAGTAGACGGAATTACAGGTGCCCCCCACTATCCCCAGCTAATTTTTGTATTTTTAGTAGAGACAGGGTTTCACCACTTTGGCGAGGCTGGTCTTGAACTCCTGACCTCAGGTGATCTGCCTGCATCAGCCTCCCACAGTGCTGGGATTACAGGCATGAACCACTACCCCAGCCAATTTTGTTTTCTTAAGGCACTTTGATTTAGGTCCTGCTTCCTCTGTTTCATGAAGTAATATATGTGATCTCAGCTCACTGCAGCCTCTGCCTCCTGGGTTTAAGCCATTCTCCTGCCTCAGCCTTTCAAGTAGCCAGGATTACAGGTGCACCAACATGCCCTGCTAGTTTTTGTATTTTTTTTTTTTTCTTAAGTAGAGATGGGGTTTTAGTAACTTAAGCAAATCCTAAGAGTTGACAAGAAAAAAAAAAAAGTAGAGACGGGGTTTTACCATGTTTGCCAGGCTGGTCTTGAATTCCTGATCCTCCCACCTTGGCCTCCCAAAGTGCTGGGATTACAGGCATGAGCCACTGTACCCAGCCTCATGAAACGATATTTTTATATTTATTTTTGTAATATTTCAATAAGTTTTTGGGGAGCAGATGGGTGTTTCATTACATGGATAAATTCATTAGTGGTGATTTCTGAGATTTTGGTGCACCCATCATCCATGCGGTGTACACTGTACCCAGTGTGTAGTCTTTTATTCCTCACCCCCTCCTACCCTTTCCCTCTAGTCCCCAGAATCCATTATATCACTCTTATGCCTTTGCATTCTCATAGCTCAGCTCCCACTTGTGAGTGAGAACATACAATGCTTGGTTTTCCATTCCTGAATTACTTCGCTTAGAATAATGGTCTCCAACTCCATCCAGGTTGCTATGAATGCCATTATTTCATTCATTTTTATGGCTGAGTAGTATTCCATGGTCTATATATACCAGATTTTCTTTATGCACTCATTGGTTGATGGGCATGTAGCCTAGTTCCATATTTTTGCAATTGCAAATTGTATTGCTATAAACATGCATGTACAAGTGTCTTTTTCATATAATTACTTCTTTTCTTCTAGGTAGATAGCTAGTAGTGGCATTGCTGGATCAAATGGTAGTTCTACTTTTAATTCTTTAAGGAATCTCCACAGTTTTCCAAAGTGGTTATACGAGTTTACATATTCCCACCATAGTGTAAAAGTGTTCCCTTTTCATTATATCCACTCCAGCATCTATTTTTTTTTTATTGTGGCCATACTTACAGGAGTAAGGTGGTATCGAATTGTTTTAATTTGCATTTCCTTGATAATTAGCATATTAGGGTTCTCTAGAGGGACAGAACTAATAGGATAGATGTATATATAAAGGGAGTTTATTAAGGAGTATTAACTCATGATCACAGAGTCTCACAGTAGGCCATCTGCAAGGTAAGGAGCAAGGAAGCCTGTCCAAGTCCCAAAGCTAAAGAACCTGGAGTCCAGTGTTTGAGGAAAGGAAGCAGCCAGCCCGGGAGGAAGATGTAGGCTGGGAGTCTAAGCCAATCTAATCTTTCCATATTCTTCTGCCTGCTTTTTATTCTGGCCATGCTGGCAGCTGATTAGATGGTGCCCACCTGGATTGAGGGTGGGTCTGCCTCTTCCAGTTCCCTGACTCAAATGTTAATCTCCTTTGGTAACACCCTTACAGATGCACCCAGGAATGATACTTTGCATCCTTCCATCTAATCAAGTTGTCACTCAGTATTAACCATCACAAGTCTACCCCTTGTCAGCTTGAACCCATACACCTTTCCTGAGATCATACATAATCTTCAAATAAAGACAATAATAAGGTCATAATTACACCTAACATGATACAGCTGTCCTTTGTACAACTGGAAACCCCCAACCCAAATACTATTACATAAAGTTAACATTTAAATGCTGATAGGAAGTCAATAAATCTTATGTCACGTGCTAAAGGAAAAGGGAAATAAAATGAAGATATTTTCTTAGTGTAAGTGTATACATGCACAAACATGTTCTTAACAAAATAAGGAAGGAATGCTCGTGACAATTACAGTCCTCATTTCAAGTCGTCGAAGCTGGTATTGATGACTACCTTCTTCTGCTACCCATTCTATATTCCCTTTGCCTTTAGCAATCACCTCAGCAGGTCCTGTTTTTTTTCCTAGTGGAGTAACCCAAACCTTCATTCCTGAAGGATCTGGGCCATTTGTAGTCCTGCCTGGATTGGGCTGTTGTAGTTTCCCATTGACCTTAATCACAGGGCATGGTAATACTAAATGATGCCCCAAGGGATTTCCTATATTCCACAAATATTCTTCCTTACCTCCATTGTGGAGTAGTAGACTGATTTCATCTTGGTAGTCCCAGTCAGTCACTCACAGTGATAGTGAAGCAATAGCAGCTACATATGCTGCCCTTCAGGCTTGTGAGAGTGTGACAGGGTGGGCAATAGTCATCACTCCAGGCAACGCTGTAACTCCCTCCTTAGCCTGTTGACTTAAAGGTAGGAGGAGCCCAGAGTGTCCAGGTGACAGTCTTCCAGTTTAATGGAATCGTTGTTGTGTCTCCTGCTGGCAGCATTCCTCTCTGGAACTAACACCTCTAGGCCAGCAGAACGTAATGTTGTGAGGACAGGAAGCAAAAATTTTGCTAGTGGATCACTAGGGGTGATGGTGAGTGGTGCCACTTACACTTTCACCCCTTGATTCCTGGACCAATATATGCTATGGGAGAAACAGTACCATATGTTGAATCTGATTTAGAGCATACATGGCCTTCTGGAGAACTCTGCCCCAGCCCTGCAAAGTATTGTCACCTAGTTGGCATTGTGATTCTGACTTCTAAATGCCATTCCACCGTTCTATCAATCCAGCTGCTTCAGGATGTTGGGGGAATATAGTAATGCCAGTGAATTTCAGGAGCATGAGCCCTCTGCTGAACTTCTTTAGCTGTAAAGTGAGTGCCTTAATCAGAGGCAATGCTGTGTGTAATACCGTGACGATGGATAAGGCATTCCATGAGTCCACAGACGGTAGTCTTGGCAGAAGCATCGTATGCAGGATAGGCAAACCCATATGTAAGTGTTTATTCTAGTGAGGACAAACCTATGCTCTTTCCATGATGGAAGAGGTCCAGTATAATCAACCTGCCACCAGGTAGCTGGCTGATCACCTTGAGGACTGGTGCCATATCAAGGGCTTAGTGTTGGTCTCTGCTGCTGGCAAATTGAGCACTCAGCAGTGGCCATAGCCAGGTCAGCCTTGGTGAGTGGACTTGTTGCTGAGCTCATAAGTAACCTCCATCCCTGCCATCATGGCCAGTTTGTTCATGGACCCACTGGGTGATGACAGGTGTGGCTGGGGAGGAGGCCGAGTGGTGTCCACAGAACAAGTCATCCTACCCACTTGATTATTAAAATCCTCCTCTGCTGAGGTCACCCTTTGGTGAGCACTCACATGGGATACAAATATCTTCAGTTTTTTACCCTCCAGATAGGTCCATCCACATACCTCTTCCCCAAATTTTTTTGTGACCAATTTTCCAATCATGATTCTTTCAAGTCCCTGACCATCATTCTAAACCATTGGCTACAGCCCATGAATCAGTATATAATCGCACATCTTGCCATTTCTCCTTCCATGTAAAATGCACAATCAGGTGCACTGCTCGAAGTTCTGCCCACTGAGATTTCTCTTCACTGCTGTCCTTCAGGGATGTCCTAGAAAGGAGCTGTAGTGTTGCAGATTCCTAGTAGTAGTGTTGCCACTGTCCACTTTTGGGTGGTGCCTGCATATTGTGCAGAACTATCTGCGAACCAGGTCCTCCCTAGTCTTCTCTACCTCTGTCAGCTGATTATAGGGAACGCCCCATGAGGCAATTGGTGCAGGCTGTGGAAGAGAAGCCAGTGTGGGAGGAGTGGAGACTATGGGCATTTGAGCCACTTCCTCATGTAACTTACTTGTGCCTTCAGGACCTGCTCAAGCCTGATCACATATATACCATTTCAATTTGATGATGGAATGTTGCTGTGCGTGACCCACAGATGGGTCAGAAAACACCCAGTTCATTGATAGGCAGTTTAGGTCATATGGTGACTTGATAACTCATAGTCAAATGTTTGGTTTCCACTAAAGCCTAGTAACAGGCCAAGAACTGCCTCTGAAAAAGAGAGCAGTTATCTGTAGAAGATGGCAGGGCCTTGCTCCAAAATCTTAGAGGCCTCCACTGTGATTCACCTATGGGGGCCTGCCAAAGGCTCCAAACAGCACTGTCTCTCAAAAGGAGAGTAGTTATCTGCAGAAGATGGCAGGGCCTTGCTCCAAAATCCTAGAGGCTTTCCCTGTAATTCATATATAGGGGCCTGCCAGCGGCTCCAAACAGCATCCTTCTCTGCCACTGAGACCTCAGGCATCACTGGATCTGCTGGGTCGTATGGCCCAAGTGGCAGAACATCTTGCACAGCAGCCTGGGCCTGTTCCAGAGCCCTCTCCTGTTCTGGACGCCACTCAAAACTGGCAGCCTTTTGGTTTACTCGATAAATGGGCTGGAGTAACACACCCAAATGAGAAATGTGCTGCCTCCAAAATCCAAATACGCCCACTAGGTGTTGTGTCTCTTTCTTGGTTGTAGGAGGGGCCAAATGCAGCACCTTATCCTTTACCTTAGAAGGAATATTTCAACAGTCCTCACACCACTGGACACCTAGAAATTTCTCTGAGATAGAAGGTCCCTAAATTGTAGTTGAATTTTATTTCCCATCCTCTGGCACACACACAAATATCTCACCAATAAGTCCAGTGTTTTTGCTACTTCTTGCTTATTGGATCCAATCAGCATAATGTCATCAATGTAATGGACCAGTGTGATACCTTGTGGAAGTGAAAAGCCATCAAGGACTCTTCGAACAAGATTATGACACAAATTTGGAAAGCTGATATACCTCTGAGGTAGGACAGTAAAGGTATATTGATGGCCTTGCCAGCTGAACACAGATTGCTTGTGGTAGACCTTATGGACAGGAACGGAGAAAAAAGGCATTTGCCAAATCAGTGGCTGCTAACAGGAAGTATGTTAATTTGGTCAAGCCGTGAAACCACATCTGGTACAGCAGCTGCAATTGGAGTCACGACTTGGTTAAGCTTATGATAATCACTATTATTCTTCAAGATCCATCTGTCTTCTGTACAGGCCAAATAGGAGAGTTGAATGGAGATGTAGTGGGAATCTCCACCCCTGCACCTTTCAAGTCCCTGATGGTGGCACTAATCTCCACAGCACCTCCAGGGATGCGATACTGTGTTTGATTTACTATTTTTCTAGGTAGCGGCAACTCTAATGGTTTCCATTTGGCCTTTCCCACCGTAATAGCCCTCACCCTACCAGTCAGGGAGCCAACGTGGGGGCTCTGCCAGCTGCTAAATATGTCTGTGCAAATTACGCATTCTGGCATTGGGCAAATGACCACTGGATGAGTCCAGGGGACCCACTGGATGTACTGTAAGTCAGACCTGAGCTAAAAGTCCATTCGATTACCTCATCTTCACAAGCCCATACTTTAACTGGAGGACCACAATGATGGTTTGGGTCTCCTGGAATCAACGTCAACTTGGAACCGGTGTTCAGTAGTCTTCGAAATGTCTGATCGTTTCCCTTTCCTCAATGCATAGTAACCCTGGTGAAAGGCCAGAGGTCTCCTTGGGGAAGGATGGGAGAAAGATTCACAGCATAAATTATTGGTACTGTAGTGCGGTCCTTCCTTAAGGGGCTTCATTCAAGGGGTTTTGGGTCTGTAAACCGGCTCAAGTCTGGAAATTGATTGAGGGGCTGTGATTTTTTTTTTTTTTTTGAGACGGAGTTTCGCTCCTGTTACCCAGGCTGGAGTGTAATGGCGCGATCTCGGCTCACCGCAACCTCCGCCTCCTGGGTTCAGGCAATTCTCCTGCCTCAGCCTCCTGAGTACCTGGGATTACAGGCACGCACCACCATGCCCAGCTAATTTTTTGTATTTTTAGTAGAGACGGGGTTTCACCATGTTGACCAGGATGGTCTCGATCCCTCGACCTTGTGATCCACCCGCCTCGGCCTCCCAAAGTGCTGGGATTACAGGCGTGGATTCTTTTTTTTAAAATAATTCAAATTAGTCTTTTATCCACTCAACCTGGAAGTTTTCCACTTACATAAATTAAGTAGGAATGTAGTAGGCTTCCAATCAGTTCCATTTCTGGGAACATTGTGATTAATTAGCTAGTGCCAGAGCTCTACAGAAGGGACTATTCTGATTGGTGCTTTGTCTCTGTGGTCCATCACAGTAGTAGCTTGCCCACCTTGCCTTTGATGGTTGAGTGCTGCCACTTGGCCCCTGCCACCTCAGGATCCAGTTATTCACATTGCATTTAAATTTTGTAGTTGAGTGTGGTTCCCACTGTTAGATCTGGCATACAGAGAAGAACAGTCATAGAGCTCTTCAAGGATTCGGGTGCTACCCTCACAAATCTGTTAACGCAAAGCATTGGTCAAGGGTATCTCTGCTGGACCCTCCCAGCTGCGATGAGTAGGTCTAAAGTGACTAATCCACTTCAGTATCCCAATCTCCATAAGCCTTTGGTTCCCTTCTTCTACATTAAGCCAAGGGAGACGAGGCATTTCCATCTCGCTCACAGTGGGCCATCTTTTAATCTATAATTCAGCTAACCAAGCAAGTAAGTAAGTAGAACCTTTTACCAACTCCCTGAGTGGCAACATTAAATGCAGAGTCCCTACTTAGTGGGCCCAAATTAATAAATTCAGCCTAATCCAATTCTGTGTTCCTACCACCATCTTCCACCACACTCTTAATATCCATTCCCATGCCTGTTCTCCAGATTCCTGCTTACATAAATTAGAAAACTCCAGCAGCTGTTTTCAAGTGTAGCACACCACCTTGTGGGTCACACTCTGAACCTCACCTTTAGGGGCCTGCCGGGACTTGAGTCTAGTTACACATCTAGAAGCAAACAGTGCTGATCCTCTTCTCCTGAGGTTATATTACCACTACTGGGGATGGTGAAGCTGTTTCTTCTGGCAGAAAATGCTTATCAGTTTTACAAGTTCTGTGTCCCCAGCTTCATCAGGGTCCTCCCACATGTCCCCATTCCAAGTTGCAGAGTCCCATTCTTTTCCAATCCATGCCCTCACTTTAACAGTAGACACCTGGCGAGGCTGTGCATGCACCTTTCATTGCTGCAGGTCAGCCACTGACATGATGAGAGGCTGTGTCTGATTTTCAAGCATTTCAAATCGCTTTTGAAGTGAGTATCTGCTTTTGAAGCGGGGAATTAGAGTCCCTGAGTTCATCCTTTTCTTTCATCACTTTTTCCAGTGAACGTAGGAGCAACCAACTAACTTCATTATGTTCCTTAGTTCTCCACATCTGGTCAAAGATACTATGTATACAGAGTCACCAAACTTCTTCCCTTTCAAGAGCGGTGAATCAGGAGTGTCAAATGGATTTATTTTGCATAGCACAAAACAGTTCACACCAAGGACTATCAGTATTCTCTATATTATTAGAAGTAGAGTCCTTAGCATTCTGGGGTCTGATCATATTAAGGAGCCAACTCCAGACACCCCAAAACCTAAGAAAAAACTCCATCCTTAACACTTGGTTCCTTGAACACCATTTCTGGTACCAAAATCTGTTAGGGTTTTCTAGAGGGACAGAACTAATAGGATGGGTGTATATATAAAGGGGAGTTTATTAAGGAGTATCAACTTACACCATCACAAGGTGTCCTGCAATAGGCTGTCTGCAAGCTGAGGAGCAAGGAAGCTAGTCTGACTCCTAAAGCTGAAGAACCTGGAGTCTGATGTTCAAGGGCAGGAAGGATTCAGCACAGGAGAAAGATGGCTGGGAGGCTAAGCCAGTCTCATCTCTCCACGTTTGTCTGTGTGCTTTTTATTCTGGCCATGCTGGCAGCTGATTAGATGGTGCCCAGCTGGATTGAAGATGGATCTGCCTCTCCCAGTCTACTGACTCAAATGTTAATCTCCTTTGGCAACACCCTTACAGATACACCCAGCAATAATACTTTGCAACCTTCAATCAGTCAGGTTGACAGTATTAACCATCACAATTAATGACGTTGAGCATTTTTCCATGTTTGTTGGCTATCAGTTTTATAATTTTAACAATGGTAATAAAATTTCCCTTAGAATGTCAGTAGGATTAATTAGAAATACTTGACATTAAAAAGAAGTAATCTGGTAAACACTGGATTTTAGAAATTGGAGAGTTCATGTTATCAAACAGCATTTTCACACTTTAATGATATGATGCAAGGAGCAGGATTGTTCAGAAATGACCCTGGTGTTGACTGAGACTTCGGCTCTCTCCTTCCAGCAAGAAGCAGTTCCCAAACTGAACTTCCCGTAAGACTGGTAGTGCTTCCTACCTCTGGCAAAGTGAACTGTAATTTCCCATAGGCCCCAAAGATTCCAGATGCTGAACAGCTGGTGTTATGTAAATAGCTAGCATGAAGTCTATACTCCCTCTCGTGTCTTTTTCCTGAAAATGTTCCTCCCATGATTGCCCTGTAAGAAAGAACGAGAAATGGGCAGGTCTTTTCATTGAATCTCTGAGTGACATCATGGGTCCACAGAGCATCCTGGTCCTGCCCCGTCTTTCCTTAAGAGCAGTGGAAGTATGTGGTACTTAGGATTATTTTATTTTGCTGATACTGCCTTATCAGTTTCCCCTTTCCCACAGTAAGACTGTTATTTAACCTATGCCCTACAGTGTTGTAAATTTGAGTCTTGGTGTAGGATAGGTAGGCACTGAGAAGGGATCCATCATGCATGACAAATAAATTAGTTTGTAATCATGTCCTTTTTTCTCCTCTCCTAATGGTGTAGGAATCTGAATTAGAGCCTATGAATGGTGAGATAATGGATGATTCTCTTAAGACCTCAGTTATAACAGAAGAGGAAGACTCCACTAGTGAAGTTTTAGATGAAGAATTAAAATTGCAGTCTTTTAATTCCACTGAAGACTCTACAAATCTTGTTCCACTGGTGGTAGAATCTTCAAAAGTCCCTGAAGCAGATACATCAGATAAGGTAAGGGGGCAATGAGCTATTTTTTAGTAAAGTGTTCCAATGTTGGTGACATTAGGTGGGAGGGTGCATGGTACATGTATTTGCTTCCACCTTAACATGTACAATGCTTTATTAAGATTAACTTTTATACTAGATTTGATACTGTAATAAAATGCTATCAGTAATAGTCTATAAATCTAAATAATTATAACATATCTGATATACGGTAACAAAATGAGTTTTATTACTTTTAATACTTTGTACTTAGGAAATGCTTAGAAAAATGGATAAAGCATTATTTACCAAATATTTGAGTATCTATTGCTTACATAGTCTATGACCAAAATAGTAATTTAAATTTAATTAGGTAGGCAGATTAGGTTAGTGGGGGGAAAAAAGCTTGTTGGAGTATTTTAAAATAAATTTAGTTACTTTTGAATATTAAATTTATGGCTAAAAAACGATTGTATGATATTATTTATTAGTGACTAACCTAAGTAAATGAATAAAACTTCCATTGCCCTAACTTACAATCTAATGAAATCACCATCAAACTTAGTGGGGGTGGCACAGTGTCAAGTCCCAAGGGATTCTTGGTTCTGGCTCCTGTAACACCAGGAAACTAAAAAAACTGAGTTGATTCATGGTTTTGAAGAATCTTCATATGAAGTTTAAAGTATCTTAAATAGAAAATAATTCATTATATCCTCAAAGTAAGAACTTAGTATATTAAAATTACCATGTGACACAATTTTGAAGAAATTGAGTTGTATTCAGAATATATACACATTTAGCAGAAGGAATTTTTAAAAATGTACACAATTAACAAAAGTAGTGAATACTGAATTGTTTAAATTGTAGTTCAGTGTCATTGCATATTAGTGCCTCAGAATAATTTATTTTTAGAACTGTATTACAAGTTTATTTGTTGACCAGGCTTTTAAATTTTCAGACCCCACATACAGCTGACTCAGAAATGATGGATGAAGGCACATCTGATGAAAAGGGGCACACAGAAGAGAAACTGTCCCTATTTCCAAGAAAGAAAGCACATCTTGGGAGTTCAGACAGTGTTGCTACTATGTCAAATGAAGAACGATCTGATGGTGGTTTTCCAAACTCTGTGATAGCTGAATTATCTGAAGAACCGGTCTCTGAGAATTTATCTCCCAACACTACTTCCTCATTGGAAGACCAGGGTGAAGAAGGGGTATCTGAGCCCCAGGAAACATCTACTGCTGTTCCTCAGAGTTCCTTGATAGAGGTTGAACTTGAAGATGTGCCATTTTCACAGAATGCAGGACAGAAGAACCAGTCAGAGGAGCAGTCTGAAGCATCTTCTGAGCAACTGGATCAGTTTACACAATCAGCAGAAAAAGCTGTGGATAGCAGCTCAGAGGAAATAGAAGTGGAAGTGCCTGTGGTAGACAGGCGGAATTTAAGAAGAAAGGCCAAAGGGCATAAAGGACCTGCTAAGAAGAAAACTAAGTTGACCTGAAGGAAGAAGAAATGCAGATGATAAATCATCCTCTTTGTAACATAATTGTTGTTTTTAAAATATGGTAATTAATAAATAGCATGGGGCACAGCACAAAAATTTCCAAAATTTCAATTTGAACTTATCTACTATGCAGTTTTTTGCTTCCCTTTAGAACGCAGAATTCACCATTCCTTTTAATTTTTCAGGCTATTTTTGGTAAATGCAATTTTTTATTTTTTTTATTTTTTTATTTTTATTTTTATTTTTATTTTTTATGAGAGGGAGTTTCGCTCTTGTTACCCAGGCTGGAGTGCAATGGCGCGATCTCGGCTCACCGCAACCTCCACCTCCTGGGTTCAGGCAATTCTCCTGCCTCAGCCTCCTGAGTAGCTGGAATTACAGGCACGCGCTACCATGCCCAGCTAATTTTTTGTATTTTTAGTAGAGACGGGGTTTCACCATGTTGACCAGGATGGTCTCGATCTCTTGACCTCGTGATCCACCCGCCTCGGCCTCCCAAAGTGCTGGGATTACAGGCTTGAGCCACCGCGCCCGGCCAATTTTTTATTTTTATTAATCATGTTTCAATTTTGGGAAACCAGATCATATTATATTTTATCAGGTGGTACATCTGACCATTATTTCAAAAATATAATTAAAAAAATGAAAGTAGCAGCATTTCCATTACTTACAATGATTACAGAAATCTTTTATACTAAAGGTTTTAATAAAGTAAAACTTGGTGAGGGTTCTCGAAGTTTTAAATTTCAAAACTAGTCACCATTTAAAAAAATCTTGGCATGCCTAAACAAGTGTCAGTAAATTACAATAAATATAACTTCAAGTAAACGAGAGCACAAAAACAAACTATGGTCAAAGGTTCATGAAGATACTTTGGTTTTGGCCTCTAGTTTTTTTTCCTCTGATTTCAGCATCTATGGAAAGGTACACATAAACTCTGTTTCTGATTCATTCTATCATCTGATGTTGACAGTACTGTCAGGGATTTAACTGTGGCATGTGGGGACTAATAAAATTTAAAATTTCATTTGAAGTAATAGTTTGCTATAGTTTTTTTCTGTCTGCATATGTGCAGATACCTAGTTTAGACTCCAGTTTCACCTTTAATCGGGTAAAAATCCCAACTAATATAATTTAGGGACATAGTTTAATTTTGACTTCTGGCCTGATCAAGATTAAGATTAAGCTGGAGATTTTACTTTTATCCCCACTCAGTTAACCTGTATATTTCAGAAATGTGAGGCTTCTTCCTGAGGCAGCTCTTTAAATCTTGCCACCTCCCTAATTCTGCAGTCTTATTTATATTTCCCATAGCGTTCATCCACTTCTCTCCAACTCATGGAGTGATTCTCCAATCAACAGTTTCCTGCCTGCCGGCTTATGCCCTTGATGTCCATTTTTGGGTAGGTTTGGAGGTGCACCCCACAATATTAGACCTATATGGCAGGAGTAAAACTTCCCTGGGGAGCTATAGTTACAAGGGCTTCAATCAGATTGGGGGCTTCAGTCATCCTTTGATTTGTTCTGTGAGTACTGGTTGCACGCTAGCCTGTTAAGTGTATATTGTGTTCCCACAGCAAAGGCCTGGGAAAATTTGAAAAAAAATCCTTGACTGTTAATTTTTGTATAGCAATTTATTTAAAAATGAACAAAATGGTAACTCTTAGAATCCAAAGATAATCTCAAAACAATTCTACTCTTTGGAACTATTACATGTACTCACATTTGCCCTTAAGTTGGATAATATTTTGAGACCATTTAGATTGTTTTAAAAATAGCTTGATCTTGATCCTTATGTGAAAGAAACACGACTTTGTGTCATTATTTGAGGTAGCTAAGGATTGATGTTGAAAGTTTATTCAGTTTATATATAGTAAGCTGATACCCAGTAAATTTTGTTTTGAGATGTTGGGATTTTCAGTCTAATTAGTTGAGTTAAAATCTTTCAGCAGTAAAAACAGTAAACCCTCCTATTTGTGTTAGATTTTGAACACTTGTATTACCCTATATTTTCTTTAGTTATTGGTCAGCGGTAAGCCAGGTTATTTCATTCTAAATGAAAATTAAAGCACTTTGGCCATTTTCTTCAACAAACGCTAATATTAAGTAAAAAAAAAAAAAAAGGTATTAGTGAATCTACCAAACATTTATGCTGTTTTATACATTTTATGAGAAATTCCTGTCAGTATCACAAAAGGAAATGTCCTTTTAAGATTCAGTAAACTCTTAACCCTTACAGTTTTCATTTCTTAGATTTAAAAACAACGCTTTTGGATATTTTATTTTTGCTTGGGTTTAAAACATTTTCTTTTCAAATTAAACATGGAACACTTCATGAATCTGTGTGTCATCCTTGCACAGGGTCCATGCTAATTTTCCCTGTATTATTCCAATTTTAGTATATGTGCTGCTGAAGTGAGCACCAAAAGACTTTCTTTAAACAGGTGTACTTTTTTAAAGATTGAGCTCACTGGGTCAACTCTTGATGTGTGAATATAGTTGAGTTTACAAAAAAATGTTTAATCATACATGACCACTGGGAACTAACAGTATAAATTTCTTCTTGTTATACTTGTTTGGATTAAATAGTGAATTGTAGGCAATTTAGAAGTTTTTTGTTCAGCACACAGGAAAACTTATGTTACAGATGATCTCTGACAGAAAATGTTATTTTGGGGTTTATAGATTATAGAGGGAAAAGTTAGATCACATGGAAAAACCTAACTCATGTTCAGTAACTTGAGTATAGAGTTTATAACAGTTTATCTTCAATAAGGAATCTACATGAACTTAAATCAGTTATTTGTAGTTTTTGCAAGGCATCAGAAAAAACTTCAATTACAGAGGACTGAAAATGTGATTTCAACCAGCTAGCCTAGTTGTTGAATGTCCAGTCACATTATACATAGTCCTTTGTGAACTTGTTTGTGAAGGGAGTTCACTTTTTGTGTATATATGTGTATATTTCCTTGTGTAATATAAAGCAGATGGTTATTAGCAATATTTTAGTTCTTTCAAGTTTAAATTATTCAATTGCTAGACATCACAGAAATTAGTATATTTAAGAATTTATTATAAAGCTCCTCTACAACTTTTAAAGGTGAGAGGGTCTATTATGATTTTTTATAAAATCAAATAGCATGATTTAAAATGTCAGTCTTCTACTTAAAATGTGTCTATATTCATGGTATTTCCATTCAGTGTAGATGGTAAGGAAAACATCTAGTCGTTGAATATTTACTTTTAGCAGACTCCAGAACACTACCTACAATGGTTTCAGTGACTAGAAATCTTGAAGGTTTTTATGACTGCGTCAAATTGAACCTGTAATATCTAAATATCTGCTCTTATGTTCTGCTTTATCCCTTGGGATTACTTTCTAAGGTTTGGTCACACCAGCAAACTGAAACAGATCTTAATGTAAATAAAGAATTTATACTAATATTACTCATCTGTGTTACAGTATTTTGGAAACAAGTTTCTGCCTTGTATGTCCATTAGTTAGCAATATGATGTTTCAGGTGTCATCTAGTGTTTCATGGGTGTGATTAGTTACAAGTGTTATGCTTTTGTTTTCATACTCAATATCAAGCTTTCTTTGTACTTTACAAAATAATTTATTTTTGCTTCTAAAAAAACAAGCAAATTTCATTTTTGTAGTATTCAGAAATTACCTGGAGTCATTTTTTTTTTTCCCCACCTTCAAGAAGTTGTGATCCATACATCACCCATTTATATTAGTGGCAAAATTATTTGCTAAAATCTAATTGTAAGAAAGGCTTAGCTTCTCTCATCAGGTGATTGTATCATCCTGGATCATCATTTCCAAGGAACTAGCCTTTCTTTTCCTAAATGTCTGTATGTGTTCTAAAACTTCTAGTGTATTTATAGAACTTAGAAAAAAATGTTACATTAGTCAGAGTAGCAAGTCTTACTGAAGTACTTTGTTTTCTTGGTAGTTTTTTTTTTTTTTTTTTTTTTTTTTTAAGTAAGTTTAAAAGTAGTAATTAAATCTATATTTTGTGATTGTTTCCTGGTCTATGTTTTGAAATTCTTTTCCTTCTGTTTTCCTCATGAAGCTGTTTCAGATACTGAATTTGTTTAGACATTGAATGACTTTGTTAAAGGCACAGTTAATCACATTGGTTGTATTCTGAAGACAGACTTTAAAAAAATAAACAACTTAAAACAATGTGGTGATTATAAATTAATTTACAGCCACAACATATCACAGCAGTGGTTTCACTAAGTTACAACCCTAAAACCTTACCTTTTTACATCATCTAAGTAACTGCAAATAAATTTCTCCTCAGACAATCAGTGCAGTCTTCTTTTCCTTTTAAAAGTTAGCAGGAGTTACTTAACTAATTGTTAATACAATTCTGAAAGTATAAATACATTGTTTAGAATACAGAAAATGCTAAGGAAGTACAAAGACTTTAATATATTTTTTTTATTTTCATGATTCAAGTAGAAAATAGTGCCAAGTAGATACATTATATGGTAAATGAGACAAAGGTTTAGAACATGAATTCACTAGACCTTTGCTAGCAGTACTCAGAAATTAAGGATTTCACAGGTAAAAAGATTTCTCTGAGAGTTCTGAACATTTAGTATGTCTTCTCACATACTTTTAGTGTAAACACTATAAACTTAACATCATGTATTGCTACATTTTTTTTTTACGATTAATGAAGTGGAAGATACTTCAGTTAAATGTTCACACATAATTAAGTGTGCACTGACCTTTTTGAAAGGCATTTTCAACTGACACTGGTGGTTTTCCAGGAAATGCGGAATCTGTATTGCTGTATACCCACTCATAAATGCAGATATTGATGAAGTAGAATATTTGTATATTTGCTTTTTTTCAATCAGTTTTATTAACATGGGGGTCTAAGTAGATTTCAAAATAAAGACCATTTATACAACGGGACCATTTTAATGTTTACAGTAAATCTTGATTGCAGACATGTATGGCTGTTTGGTAGTATTGAGAAACAGTACAGTAATGGCAGTTTTTCCAATTGGTGTGTAGTCCTCTACTTATATATTAAATTGCTGTCAAACCAGTAAGACTGCATTTATGCATCCATCATTTTCAGGATTGTTCGTAACCTGGGCATACTTTCCTAAGGAAAACAAAACCAAAACAGGGAGTGTTGTTATATAATAAGAATTAATTTTAAAGAATGTAACTTTTGCCTAACTTTTTGTTTTTGTTTTAACACAGGGTTTCACTCATTGCTCAGGCTGCAGTGCAATGGTGTGATCTCGGCTCAATGCAACTTCTGTCTCCTGGGATCAAGTGATTCTCCTGCCTCAGCCTTTTCAGTAGCTGGGACCACAGGCATGCAGCACTGCCTGGATAATTTATTTGTTTTTGATTCTGGTAGAGATGGGGTTTTGCCATGTTGCCCAGGCCGGTCTCAAACTCATTGCCCACCTCCAAGGTTCAAGTGATTCTCCTGCCTGAGCCTCCCAAGCAGCTGGGCCACCACGCCCGGCTAGTTTTGGTAAACCAGCCAGGCTGGTCTCGAACTCCTAAGCCCAGATGATCTGCCCACCTTAGCCTCCCAAAGTACTGGGATTACAGGCTGAGCCACTGCTCCTGGCAGTTTCAACTAGTTATAAGGTTACCTACGTGGGACAGATAGATCTATTTCTTTAAATTCAGTAGGTATTTTAACGTCAGCATGTAAATATAAGGAGTATTTACATAGTATTTATAAAGTTATGGCAAAAGATTTTTTCTTTCAGAAAACATCTTAAGTCATTGGCTAATACTTCATATCAGCTGACCTCAGTTTTAAAATATGTTTGATAGATACTTTCCTCTGCTCATGGTTATTCTATTTTCTTACAATACTTTTTATAACTTTGCATCTGCTTCCCTTATAATAAGCAATTTTTATTAAAAAGGACAGAATTTTTTTGAGCTGCAGTCTTGCTCTTTTGCCCAGTCTGGAGTGCAGTGGCACAATCTCGGCTCACTGCAAGCTTCACCTCCCCGGTTCATGTGATTCTCCTGCCTCAGCCTCCCCAGTGGCTGGGATTACAGGCGCTTGCCACCACATCCAGCTAGTTTTTTTTGTATTTTTAGTAGAGACATGGTTTCACCATGTTTGCCAGGCTGGTCTCCAACTCCTGACCTCAGGTGATCCACCCGCCTTGGCCTCCCAAAGTGCTGGGATTACAGGCGTAAGGTGAGCCACTGTGCCTGGCCAAAGAGGATCAAAATAATTCTAACAATGTATTATACCTAAAACCAATAAGCTAAATTTAAAAACAACTGTATTTATAACACTTTTGCTATAGCTTTTTTTTTTTTAACTAAAGATTTACATTGTTTTAATCTAGCTCTCCTGCTTTAAGAAAATTTGCTGTGTATTTTATTAATATATCAACTTTAAGAGTATTTCTATTAGCAACAGCCCTGTATTAAAAAATTCACTTACCCCAAATAACTTTGCCTCCTTGCGTCACAAGGCCCAATTCGCTCACATTTACCTCAATGACAGTACCTTTGGTAATAACACCCAAAGTTGTATACAGTGGGGATGAAGGATTCTTCTTTACACCAAGTATCGGTAGGCAAAATGTGGCTTTCAGTTCAGGATGTGTCACATGGGCTTTCTTGAAACGCAAGCCCTAGTAGGTCAAACACAACATTAGGAATGCTTATGTCCAAAATGTTAACAGAGAAGAGTAGTGGTCCTCTTCACTTATCGTTTTCAACCATCTCCAAAAAACCATGGTTGGATAATGTCATCTTAAAGCATCTAACAAAATACATTCTACAGACTAAAAACCTGATGGTTACAGTATTAGTAGGTGGGGAAAACACCCACGCATGTACCTAAGATTTTTTTTTTTTTTTTTTGAGACAGGGTCTTGCTCAGTTGCTCAGGCCAGAGTGCAATGGCACGGTGTCGGAGCACTATAGCCTGGACTTCTTGGGCTCAAGACATCTACCCACCTCGGGCTGCCAAGTAGCTGGGACTACAGGCACATACTACTATGCCTAGCTAATTTTTGATAGAGATGGGGTTTCACCATGTTGCCTGCTGGCCTCGAACTTCTGGGCTCAACCAATCCAACCCCTCAGCCTCCTGGGATTACAGGTTACCACAGCTAGCCTCTGAAGTTACTTATTTATTTTTAACTGTGTAACAGCTACCTAGCAACATACTCAGATTTCTACTGTCTAGTCATCTACACTTAGACTTACTAAGGACTTGATACATGCCAGGCCACTATGCTAGCTCACAACTGGCTCACTTAAACACAATAACCTCACAACAAACACATCCCTCTCCCTTCTGTTTTCGAATGATGTAACAAGGATCAGCAAGTTAAATGACTTGTTTTCAGATTAAATGGTAAGTGGTAAACAGAATCAAACTTAAGTATCCTGATTCCAAGCCTTTATATACCTCAGCTACCTTCCATGATGAAAAAAGGAGTGGATTGTCAGCTTATTTTAGGTTGGTGGTAGGACACTGGAGAAGGCCCAGGGAAGTCTTTCTTACAGAAACCGGTTACGGAGTCATCCAGTCACCTAATAGGGTCTTTCAGGGTCTAGTACTTCAAATGTCACAATATTTTGCAGTCTTACTTGATTTTTGCGTGCATGGGGTGGGGTGACAACACTAAATCAGTTTCCTAGTAACAGGCTCATTAATCAAGCTTGTAAGAAACTGACACTATTCAGGATGCCATCTGATTAATTCATAATGACAAACTGTGAAACTACAGAAAACCCAGAATAGCCTGACTTGTATATTCTCTCCCTGTAGAACTAATAAGGTTAACAAAATGTATTCAGAATATGAATACAAAACCAAAACAAGTAGAGTCCACGATATAATCCAGGGGTGGCAAACATTTTGTGTAAACAACCCAATAGGTAAACATTTTAGGCTCTGCCAGGCCATATGGCCTTTATTACAACTGCTCAACTCTTGGGATGGGGGTTATGCAATATGTAAATGAACAGGCATGGCTGTGTTCCATTAAAACTTTATAGAAACAAGCTGTTTGCCAATATTTTAATCTATTAAAAATCACTCAGGTTGAACACTAGGATTTTAGGATGTTGCAACTTTCCTTTCAGATATTTTGTTTTTCTAAGGAGGCTGTGCATCTAACTGGGAGAATAGTTCAGTCTCTTTGAAGGAATTTTGTAAAAATATATTTTCAATTATTTTTCTCCCCGGGGTGGGGAAGTTTGGGGTCATATTACTATTACTGCCTTCAATAGAAATCAAACTAGATTAAATTGTCTTCCTTTTCCCAATGACTTTCAAGAGCATTTAGATACTTTCGTTACCAAACTGGAATTGACTCTTACAAAACGGTTCTCAAGTTTTCCAAATGTTGTCAAAGACAAGTGTCCGAGGCCTAGACAGTATCAGGCATACAGTAGATCACTAGCTGAATGAGGAAAATATGACTGTGTGTGGAAAATTAAGATTCTATTATGTCATATTTAAAAGTCAGAATTCACTGACAATGTCTTATGACCCTACTTTTTCAAATCTTTATGAAGCTGAAAAGATTTTTGACTTCAGGAAAAAGTACTAAGTAACTTCTGTCACTAACTTAGAATAACAAAAATAGCATAAAAATATCTTTCGACCTGTTCCACATCAATTTAAAGAATTTTGGGAAATTATAATGTTCTTTATCCGATTTAACAAAGATAACTAATATTTCGGTCACTATCCTCTTCTAAGAACTTACCATTGGCCTTATGAATCTTTCATATTTAGGTGGTTTTCTTGTAAAGCCATCTCCAACAAAGCAGACTTTAGTAACCATCCTCTTCCATGCCTTCTTCTTTCTCTTTCCTGTTCGAATAACTTTTAATACTTCTGTTTCTCCCTGGGCACGGACTTTAGGCAGAGGGACTTCCCATTTTCCCTAAAAATATGCCACAGTTAAAGTTTATATTTAAAGGACAATGATAAGTCAAATATGCTCCAGTTGTACAATGCAGTAGATCTATTTTTTTGCTTAGCCATCAACACGTTTTTGACTTAACTGTTTTTCTAGAGCTCTGTATTGTCTCCTCACAAGCTGTAAATTAAAATTAGTTAAGTTTATATATCATGGGTACATTAAATAAACTGTTGGCTTAAGCAAAAAATCTTAATGCTGTGTTATGGGTGAAAAAAATACCACCTGTAATATAATGGTGACTTTTTTTTTTTTTTTTTGAGACAGAGTCTCACTCTGTTGCCCAGGCTGGACCTAATTTTTGTATTTTTAGTTGGGGTGGGGGCAGGTATTACAGTATTGGTCAGGCTGGTCTTGAATTGCTGACCTTAGGTGATCCACCTGCCTCTTCCTCCCAAAGTGCTGGGATTATAGGCATGAGCCACTGCACCCAGCCGATGGTGACGTCTATAAGCAGTGTATGTTTAATAGCATAACACTGGAGGAGTATTTTCACCTCTTATGTCTTTGTATTTCTTCCTGAAATGGATTTGTAGATTACTAGTAAGACAAAGTCCTCGCCAGATGTTTTATGCCTCTCTGGACAAACTCTATAAAAAAAAACTGAAGTTGTGTGAGGCAGTAGAAATAATTCTTTAGGTATAGATACCTCATATTCTTTTATCTGGATTTCTGCTAATCTATTCACAGGAGTTTAAAAAAGCCACATTTTTGTGACCAATTAAGGAGTTTTCCACCATTCTACTTTTTAGCCAATTTTGGCATTACAGGGCAGTACAAATAAGCAGCATTTGTATTTTTCTTTAAGACTGCATAACACTGTGGGTTTTCAAACAGGAAGACAAATATTGAGTTTGAAATTCACTCCTTACCAACTTTTTAATTTCATATGGCATTCTAAGAATTTTTTTAAAAAACAAATTTTAAAACCTTATGAGAGAGTAAGATTTTTATTATTAAATTTATAAAGACTTCAACATCTAAGCAATGGGAATAATAGTCGTATTTCATGTTTCAAATTAAACTGAAGAAGCAAGAACCTCAAATTTGAATTTAAGTAATTATCCTAAACAAAACAAAGACTTAAATTGTTACTGCTTACCGCCTTCTCTTTTCGTTTCTGTTTAATCATATTGGAAAGTACTTTAGCTCGAGATTGTCCTTCTCTGTCCAGCAGATAGGCAGGTACTGCTCCCTGTGGAGTCTTCTCATCATTCTTCTGTTTGGTGTTTCTCTTTTCATGCATCTTGATACTACCGAGAAGGAAAAAAGGTTCAAGATTATCTGTTTTAATAATGATTACTCAAAAGATGTTAACTTGTTATTACAAATAAATTGAACCACTTACGTCTTTTTCATTTGTATTTTCTCAGCGTGGCGCTGTTTATGGTAAAGCTTAGCTTTCAGACCAATCATTTTCTTTGCCTTCTTTGAACGTTCATGAGCTTCTCGGCTTTCCTTCTTTCTCTTTTTCTCATGGTAATCCAAACGGTATCCATAGCGTTTACGATGTAATTCAATGTATTCGTTCTGTGGCTATAATGATGCAATAAATGTTATTTTTTTTAAGTACTCACAATTATTCTAAAATGCACTCTTTTACATACACTAAAGTAGTTAAGACCCTGTTTCATCCAAATGTTCACTCACTTAAATGATTCTTGCACCATTAAGTCTATTCACATTATGTAAGTTAAATTTTGATCTTTAATGATATGAGGTTTTAGGGCTTACATCGCTAATAATCTCAGTAGGGAATGGTCCAAAATCTGGATCCTGATTAGAGCATCTTTTTTCCTTGACACAATTTGCTTTTTAAATAACATCTTCATTTAAATTTTATTTTAAAAATTTAAGTCACTTTCATGGAACCGTAATTTATACATAGTAAAACTTGTCCTTTCTAGCTGCACAGTTCTAACTTCTGAATATACAGTTCTGTAACCACCACAATCAAAACAGAGAATTTCTATTTCCCCCTAAAATTCCCTTGTGTCACTTTGAAGTCAATCCTCCTTCCCAACTCTCAATCTGATACCTATCCCTATAGTTTTACCTCCCCCAGAATGAAACAGGGATCAACAGTAGTACATAGCCTTTTGCATCTGGTTTCTTGCTTTTGGGATTCGTCCAATTTGTTGCAGGTATCAGTACTTCAATCCTTTTTGTTGAGTAGTATGCTATCATACGGATATACCACTGTTTATTTACCCACTGACCAGCTGATAAGTATCTGGGTTGTTTCCAGTTTGGGCTGATTATGAATAAAGCTAAAATAAACAACTGCACTTAAATCTTCATGTGGACATGTGTTTAATGCCAGACTGTTTTCCAAAGTGTATTATTTTGCATTCCAGCAGCAATGTATGGGAAGATTTTGCATTTTAGACGCGTTTTATTTTAAACACGCGGGCAGGCGGAAGTCTATTTGTATTTTAAGACTGCAAAAATAAAAATGACACAAAGCCAAGTCCAGAACAGAGAAAAATGTTAAGTAACAACCAACAAGGTGTGCTATCAACTGCTATCACATAAACTTTGCAGCAATTCCACACACATGAATAGTGTGCAAAGAAACGCAGATTAGAGACGTAGCAGAAAGAGAAAGGATCTGGAGTTAAATCTGAGCGTTAAGCCCGGCTTCGCAATTTGTCAGCTGTCTGATCTTTGGCAAGGACGCCTTCAGTTTCCTCAGCAGTAAAATGAAGGGTCAGGGATTAACATCTAAGGTTATAAGAAAGCACAACCACATTCCCATTAGACTGGTGCTGGTAACCACGCTTGTAGTGAAATCAGGAATTTGTAGGATTCTTAGCAGTGGAAACAAAGAAAACAGGACAGAGTAAAATCTGTCTTGCTCCAAAGCTTGAGTTCTGGCAAACACTCTCCGTGTCTCTAACGTGAAGTTGTTTCCACTTCTCAGAGGCCACCCCGCGGAGTACACCATCCTTTTCCCTCAGTAGTTCTCATTTCCGCCAAACACCGCTCACCCCCTGCCCCAGAGCTCCAAACCCTCAGGTCCTACAAACTGAGATGCCCTATGTCCCGAGCGTCCGAGGCATCCTTCTTACCATGGTGATGGCCGCAGAGCTGCCAGGAGCGGCCCCAGGGACGTAAAAATGCTCTTAGTTTTCGGGTCTCTGAGATCCACGAGCCGACACCACGCAGGCCACGACAGGAAAGGGTAACCCTTTAAAACCGCCGAGTGAAGAGCAAGCTTCACGCAGCAGTTCCGAGCCTCCGTTTTCCGCGTTCAGCTAGAAGAACGGAAGTTCCGGGCTGGCGGTGTTTGGCTGGTGCACCGCCGGAAGTGTTAAAGGGTGGTTGCTCAGGGCGGAAAAGCGGAAAAGCGGAAAAGCGGAAAAATCCTAGGTTCCTTTAGTTTAGGTACACTGTCGTTTGTTCAGGCAGGCGTCGGGACTTGAGGCCGTTGCAGACTTTGGCACGACCTGCTCCTCCTGCTTCAACAGCCTAGCGGTGACGAGCTGGCCTGCGGTACGCAGCCTAATGCCAGGTGAGTACCGCTCCAAGCTCTGAGACGCTGCGGGCCTGTGACCCTGTCCTGCGCTGGGTACCGCTAACCTTCCAGGTGGCGACGCACACAGCCAGCCACGGAGGAGAACAGCAGGGCCTCCGGACTCCCCTCGGTGTTCTCTCAGTGTGGAAGTTTTTCTCTATCCTTCGGCGAGGGCGACTCAAGTTGTTCCGGTCACTGTGGGTAATGAGTGCACGATGGTGAAGGTTACTGAGGAATGAAAACTTATCGTACGGAAAAGTAAACTACTGGGCCTTTGCAATTGTCAGAAAAGAAAGACAGCATTCTGGGTTTTTGGAGGTACAGGACTGATTACAGAAATTCCTGAGGCATTTTAGTGCGTCGAATTCAAGCGCTGAGTGGACTTGCATTTAGTGCCCCCTAGTGCCAGGAAGTTAGTCACTACAAGAAAGTACCTCACTTAAAGACACTGCCAATTTTGCCCTTTTACTGCACAGCTGCAGAAGTTCCCTTAATTCACAGCTTGGAACGTGATTCAGTTGACTGAAGCAAAAAGAACTGTACCAAAAGAATACTTTCATTAATTCTTGGTGCTTGGATTTGAGGTAGTATTTTGTTTTGTTTTTGTGGGGTTTTTTGAGACAGCCTCTCGATCAGGCTGGAGTGCAGTGGCGCGATCTCGGCTCACTGCAGCCTTTACATCCCGGGATCAAGCGACCCTCTGATCTCAGTCTCAAAAGTAGCGAGCTACAGGCGCGGGCCACCACGCCTGGCTAATTTTTTAAATTTTTGTAGGACAGGGTTTCACCATGTTGCCCAGGCTGGTCTCGATCTCCGGGGTACAATCCATCCAGCCGCCTCGGACTCCTGAAGTGTTGGGATTACAGGCGTGAGCCACAGCGCCCGGCTTTGAGGCAGTTTTTGTTTTTGTTTTTTTTGAGACAGTTTCTCTCTTGTTGCCCAGGCTGGAGTGCAATGGCGCGATCTCCTCTCACTGCAACCTCTGCTTCCCGGGTTCAAGCTATTCTGCCTCAGCCTCCGGAGTAGCTGGGATATAGGCGCCTGTCACCACTCCCGGCTGGCTTTTTTTTTTTTTTTTTTTTTTTTTTGTATTTTTAGTAGAGGTGGGGTTTCAGCATGTTGGCCAGGCTGGTCTCGAACTCCTGACCTCAGGTGATCCACCGTCTGTACTTCCCAAAGTGCTTAAATTACAAGCTTGAGCCACCACGCTGGGCCTTTTAAGCAGTTTTTTAAGGCTCCGTCTTTAAAGGTGATCTCATCATTCTCTTTAAAACCAGAACTACTAATAACTAACATTTGTATATTTTAGCTACAGTAAGTTATATAATCTCTTTGCTTGTAATGCACTCCTCCTCACCACCCCCCTCCCCCCGAATTTCCTCCCTCATCTGCTTCTGGTCTTTGCTTAAATGTCACTATTTTAATGAGGCATTCCGTGATCGTTTTCCTTACAGTTTTAACTGTCCCAATTCCTCTTTGCTGCTTAATTCTGTACAGCACTTATCATTATAGGAGAGACTGTATCGTATTCATTACTTTTGTTTGTTGTCTCTATCCCCTGACTAGGATAGAGGCAGTGTGAGGACAGAGATTGTTGCCTTTTGTTCACTGCATTAATGCCAATATCTAGAAAGCAGTGAGTAGACACACAGTAAATTCTTGTTGAATAAATGGAAAGGAATAGGCTTGGGCGGTGGAGGACTGGGTTGTGCAAATTATCTTTTTATTGACAACCACTGAGTTAAAGTAAGAAGAGGAAAATGTCTATTAAATGTTTATTACAGTAGTAACTGTAGAGAGACTATGAGGGCCTGAACTTTGGCATCACTGATGAAGAAAGAGTGGATTCAGGGCTGGCCACGATGGTTCAAACCTGTAATCCCAGCACTTTGGGAGGCCAAGGTGGGCAGATCACTTGAGGTCAGGAGTTCAAGACCAGTCTGGCCAACATGATGGAACCCGGTTTCTACTAGAAATAGAAAAATTAGCCAGGCATAATGACACATGCCTGTAGTTCAGCTACTCAGGAGGCTGAGGAGGGAGAATCGCTTAAACTGAGGAGGCAGAGGTTGCAGGGAGCTGAGATCTAGCCACTGCATTCCAGCCTGGGTGACAGAGTGAGATCCTGTCTCCAAAAAAAAAAAAAAAGAGGTAACAAATTCAAGATACATTTAGGAAATAAAATGAAAAGATTTGATGATTTTCTAAATAAGTGTAGTGAATATTCCTTATCTAAGATCCGGAAAAGAACAGATTTACGCATAATAATGAGTTTTGACATATCTTCTTAATAACATGGATCACAATGGTTTAACCCAGGGGTTTCTAATCTTTTGGTTTCCCTGGGCCACATTGGAAGAATTGTCTTGGGCCACACATAAAATACACGAACATTAACAATAGCTGATGAGCTAAAAAAAAAAAACAACACAAGAAAATATCATAATGTTTAAAGAAAGTTTACAAATTTTTGTTGGGCTGCGTATAAAGCTGTCATAGGCCATGTGTGGCCTGCAGGCTAAGGGTTGGACAAGCTTGGATAAACATGGTCTGTTTGTCTCCCTACCATCCCCAGTCTCAGCTGCATCTTGCGTTTCTCATAGCTTTGATATTGTACCTGAAACATAGTTAATATTTAGTTAATGTTTTTAAACTAAAGATACTTAGTTTCTATAATCAGAGAAAGAGTTCTTTTAAATATTTCTTACATGATTTAGTTTTTACATATTTATGGTAGGAGAATCAGAATCTACAAATGAACCAATAAATTTTACTGCCAATTAGAAGTTACCAAGTTAATATATGGATGCTTAGCTTTTTATACTAAATTCTATATAGTTACATAACTATGCATTTTGGTTAATACAATGTTTTGTAATTTCAGTAAGTTGATTTCTACCATAATGCATATGTTTAAACATTAAAGTACATTGACAAGGAAAATTTTAAGAACCATATTTCTCATATTTAATCAGAATTTTCATTTTCTGAATGATGCATTGAATTTTTGGTAGCTAAAAATATTGTTCTGACTTTTTAAAAGTAATACATTTTAATCATACATATTACGTATATCTAACTTACATATGCCTTGCTGACATATAATACATAAATTTAGTTTTATAATTTTGTATATTTGTTTTTTCAGAGAATAACAGTTTGGAGCATCAAGATGTTGACCAACTTGAGGATATTTGCAGTGAGTCATCAGACAATACTCAGTGTGCATATTAATGTAAGTATTTCTTATAAAATGAAATGTCCCTTAACAACCTCAGCTATTTTACTCGCTAAAATGCTTAGTATATCTCATCAGCTATTGATTCCAAACTTAGTTGAGTCATAACCTTTGGAAATCCTCAAGCCAAACAAGTTTGAAAGGAATCACCTTAGTTTAATCAGAAATATAAGAGGAAATTACCTTAATTTTAAAAAAAAGAACAGCCTCAGCTAAATGCTGGTCTCGGGGTACTAAAATGTGTTGTTTTTGAAAGGAGGGATGGGTTTTATATCTCTTCTAAGAATGTCATCACTTAATACACATCTTTAAACTGCTAACAACAAATGTGCTTTGTACTCTTAAGTATCCATAGATTGAGACTCTTGTGAAATAAAGTTCCTCTTAATATCAAAATATAACATAATTGTACAATGATTGATAAAACTACTTTTGGCTGTCTTCTGCAGAGCTTTTGGAAGCCAGCTTCTTGGGCATTCTGAGATTTGTCTCAGGAATATTGTTTTGGTCTTTAAGCTCTGCTCTGACTCCTGAATCCTCTTCAAAACACTATAAATTATTTTCTAAACTATCATGTCTTCAGTATACCTAAGAGATATTAAACCTCAATGAAATAATACCCCTTTTATCTACAAGTAAGTGAGAGATTAAAGCTTGTTTGGGTCATTTCTTTTTATCTTCAGTGACTTAACAGGGAGTACAATAGCTTCCCCTTATTCATGGTTTTGCTTTTAGCTGTTTCAATTGCCCAAAGTCAACCGTGATGTGAAAATTAAATGGAAAATTCCAGAAATGATTTATAAGTTTTAAGTTGTGTGCCATTGTGAGTACTGTGATGAAATTTCATGCTATCCCACTTAATCCCACCTGGGATGTGAGTCATCCCTTTGCCCAGCATATCTACACTGTGTACACTCCCTACCTGCAAATCAGTAGCCATCTGGCTTATCAGATTCACTATTGTGATACTGCAGTGCTTGTGTTCAAGTAACCTTTATTTTACTTAATCATGGTCCCAGAGCACAAGAGTAGTGATACTGGCAATTTGGATATGCCAAAGAGAAGCTGTAAAGTGTTCCCTTTAAGTGAAAAGGTGAAAAATCTCCGCCCAAAAAGGATAAAAAGTCATATGCTTAGGTTGCTAATATCTATGATGAGAATGAATCTTCTGTGAAATCGTGAAGAAAAAAATTTTTACTAGTTTTACTGGCACACTTCAAAGTGCAAAAGTTATGGTCACATAATATGGTAAGAGCTTAGTTAAGGTGGAAAAGGCATTCAGTTTGTGGGCAGAAGACATGAACAGAAACATGTTTTGATTGACAGCAATTAGGTTCAGTACTATTTGGGGTTTCAGTCATCCATTGGGGGTCTTGGAATATGTCCCCTGTGGATAAGGTGTGACTGCTGTATTGGAGAATCTGTAACCCTTAAGAAGCCTTATCATTAGTCTACAATTTGTTTTTTCTACTTTAAAATCACCTGGGCAGCATTTTGACGAAGATATATTTCTATATTCAATTTCTGATCTCATTAAGTGGGCCGAGGAGTTATCCAGATTTTCATCAGTGCTTTTATTGCTGACACTTTC